TAACAAATCATATTCTCCTTTTAAAAATGTATAGAGGAAGCCTTGTTGTTGTGTTGTTCATTCGTTCAGTCGTCTCCGACTCTTCGTGACCTCATGGACCAGCCCACGCCAGAGCTCCCTGTCGGCCGTTACCACCCCCAGCTCCCTCAAGGTCAGTCCAGTCACTTCAAGGATGAGAGCATCGGATTCGTCGTTCACCTCCAGTACCGTCGGCCGCTAGCCTTCCTTTCGGCTTTGAGCTAGCTGCGTCATCACATCTGGGGCTAGTTGAACTTATCCTCTGCTCCTCCCCAGTAGCATTTCGGCCATCTTCCGACCTGGGAGTCCCATCTTCCAATGGCATACCGACATATCTCTGGTTGTACTGGTCCATTTAGTTTTCTTGGCAAGGATACTGGAGTGGTTTGCCATTGCCTTCCCCAGGGATCACGCTTGGTCTGACCTCTCTGCCACAACCGTCCCGTCTTGGGTGTCCCTTCACGGTTTCGCTCATGACATCATTGAGGTGCTCAAGCTCCAGCGCCCCGACAAGGCGGTGATCCTTTGCTGGAGAGAGGAAGCCTTAGGAAGAGCTAAAGAGAAGGCGAATCTGGTGTTTTGGGTGCATGAGGAAAGTGGTGGCAATCATTTTAATAGTGTCTTAAAGTCTTGTGAGACTGGTAGAGAAACTGCCAAGCTTCATACTCTTTCTACAGTTAACCTCTATTAAAAATGGCCACTGCTATGCCGCTCTCCAATATGATGGGGAGCACAGAGCGTTTCCAACATTGACCTGTGGATACATTGATCTAGATTGTTGGTCAAGAAAAAAAATCATTGTATATATGTGTACTTGTATGTTTGATACACATTCTTTAGCTTCCCAAACTCTTTTGGAGATAAAAAGTGGGAAATAAATAAATATGATAATAATAAACCAATGTCATGAAAGCAAGTATCCACTTATTAAGTCCATCTCACTTCAAGTTACGAGAGTTCTTCCTTTTGAAGAAAATACATTTAATGACTAGGGATTTATTTATTTTTTGTCGTGTCAGGAGTGACTTGAGAAACTGCAAGTCGCTTCTGGTGTGAGAGAATTGGCTGTCTGCAAGGACGTTGCCCAGGGGATGCCTGGATGATTTGATGTTTTTATCATCCTTGTGGGAGGCTTCTCTCATGTAGAGATAGGGATAGGTTAATGATGGTGATGATAATTGTTTTGAAAAGTCAGCACCTGAAATGTCTGGGGAATTATTGTGAAGATTATATGAAAACATTGCTGGGTGGGACACAGACTTTTAAAGTGCTGGGTATTCATTTGTATCAAGTATAGTATGAAACATGTAAATTATGCATATCAGATGCAGTGGCCACTGAATTCAGTGACATGTCCAAGTGAATGTGTATTAAATTGTGCCCATTGACAAACTAGGATAAAATGTTGTGGTGGTAATATACGGATTGACAGGTTAACTTGAAATAATTGCAAAAGAAACATGAAAATTAAATCAATAAGGCACAAGAAACAGTCAGGACCAAGGTCCCAAGGAGCACTTTGCCTTAATCATTCTGATTTTGTGCTAGAAAATGTGCTTGCTTTTGGGTTGCTCTAAACTACTGAGTTTAAGCTGCGTGCTCTTCCCAGGGGCCTCAAAATCTTTGGGAAGTGCACGTGGAGCCCTTAGGTTGGGAACCACTGTGCTAGACCTATCAAGGAATTTTAGGAGTTTGGTAAAACAGTTATTTCTATGCTGAAAAAAAAAACAAAATTGTGCACAATTCAAGTCCCCATGTAAAGGGTTTTCGTATTCTAATAGTGAAGCAGCCAGTTACCTCTTCTTTCTAGTTCACCAAAACTGTCCAGGCTTGTCTCATACAAGATGTTCCTTCCTGTGATATGCCTCTGATGAGAATTACATTACTATAGTGCCGATTCAGAGGTGGTTATTTGTAGTAACAAGCTATCTACACAAGAAATATGTTTATGATTTAATGGCATCCTTGGTGGCTCACTGAAATCGTTCATATTTTATTTTGCTTTTTCTAAAAGCTACAGTAGAAGACTGTACATGGTTAATATAGCAAGATACTCATATTTATTTTAAACATGTATACCTTGCTTTTACTAAATCAACCCCAAGGTTGTCTAACAGCCATATTTAATACTTCCATTTACAATTTCAATCAAAAAGCAGTAATAATCAGGCATAAGATGGTATAAATAGGCATTATAGAAGTCAATCCTCAACAGTCCAGACTGCTTTTGTAAAACTCTTTAAATCCCTTTGTTTTACTAGTTTTCTTGTATTCTTTTTCCACAGAAGTAGATGTGTGTTGCTTTTGTTACCACTGGAGGCTTGTTCACAGATTGCAAGCAGCTGGTTGTGTCTGTGTGTAGCAACTGTTTCCCTAGAGATAGTGACACTGATCCTACATCTCAGCACAAGAGTCACTCTTTTGCAAGTTTGAAAGAGCAGTGCTTTAACTCCCTGGGCTATTGACAGATTTCTGCATATTGTTGTTCTTGCGGTATTGTAGTGACAATCTTCCTGCCCACTTGAATTGAATTTCTGGTTGTAATTGGTTAATCTAGCAGTAATGTTTGTATACCCAAAGTGTATTGCTTGTATGTCTTCTTCTGGCATTACTTGATAGGTCTGGGTCTCAAACTCTGAGATAGCTACTTTCTTTCATGAGAACATCTACAGGAGTTGGCATTTGTAGAGGCTGGATAATGCTAGGGAATATACCTCTTTTTCGGTAGCAGGGGTATCATCTCACTCTTCCAAGTATCATAATGGTGAAGTTCAACTGAGTAGCATTGAGTAGTCGGCAATTTATATTGGTAGAGGCTATAAATATTGGTGATGGCTGACTAACGCGAATGAATAATTAATCATTTAGTGATGTTAGGAGCACTAAAGTTGCTCAGTAAATCACGTATTTGTATTGAGGCTACCATTTTCCATGCTTCAGGTTCAGATTTTATGAAAGATTGTTGAAGTACAGAAATTTCTCAATATAAAACGTGCTTTCATGCTGTTAGCATTTCTTTCTAAGTACTGTATTAAAAATGGGATTTATTTCCATGCTATATGCAGTTGTACTCTTCAAATGTTCTTACAAATGGTTTTTCTGCAGTAATATAGATCATAATCTTAATGTAATGCTATATATACCTTATAGCATTTTAAAATCTTTAGTCCATAATGGAGGTCTTTATTGAAGATAGCTTGATGTTGTAAGTATGCTTCTAGCTGTGCAATCCTCTTAACTGGGTGATTATAAGAGCAAAATATAAGGAATTTTTAGCCCACTTGATTCCTCCTAAATTCAGAAGGAATTGGAAGCTGTGGAAAAAGAACTAATGTGTGATATTAAATTTGTCACACATTATAAGATACTTAAATCACCGAAAGAGGGGAAAATCTATTTCTCAACTTCAGTCTTAATTAACAATAAATACATAGAAAAATCAGTATCATTTATGTTCAAAGTGGAGATCCGCAGACTCAAGATGAACTTCAAGGCTTGCGGAAGTATAAAGAATCCCTGTGCTCAGGGTGGACGAAGCAGGTAGATCCAGCCCTCTTTATGCAAGGAGGTATTTCCATCTAGCTTACGTAGGAAGGGCTTTAAAGGACTGATAGCCAGATGGAGCTGAAGAAAGAGCTCTGAAAGACATCTCTGTGAGATATATATGAACACACATTTTGTTATAAGTCTCCACTTTTTGTTTTCTCTGCTGCAAACTGGTGAAGTAGGTAGGACAAAGGAAGATGGATGACTTAATGCAGTTTCTCAATGTGGGTGTCAAAAGGATCACCAAAGAGCATCAGAAAACACAATATTTTCTGTTGGTCATGGGGGTTCTGTGTGGGCTGTTTGGCCCAATTCTATCATTTGTGGGGTTCAGAATGCTCTTTGATTGTAGGTGAACTATAAATCCCAGAAGCTGCAATGCCCAAATGTCAAGGTATATTTTCCCCAAACCCTAACATTGTTCATATTTGGGCATATTGACCATTTGTGCCAAGTTTGGTCCAGATCCATCATTGTTTGAGTCCACAGTGCTCTCTGGATGTAGATGAATTACAACTCCAAAACTCAAGGTCAATGCCTACCAAACCCTTCCAGTATTTTCTGTTGGTTCTGTGTGTCAAGTTTGGTTCAGTTCCATCATTGGTGTTCAGAATACTCTTTGAATGTAGATTAACTATAAATCCCAGCAACTACAATTCCCAAATGATAAAATCAATCCCCCTCCCCCCAACCTCACCAGTATTCAGATTTGGACGTATGCCAAATTTGATCCATTGAATGAAAATACATCCTGAATATCAGATATTTACATTACAATTCATAACAGTAGCAACAAAAATAATTTTATAGTTGGGGGTCACCACAACATGAGGAACTGCATTAAGGGGTCATGGCATTAGAAAGGTTGAGAACCACTGACTTAATGGATTATATTTTCCTGAGCCATGAGTTCAGATGTTCACATGTGTATCCCACTGACCAGCTCTTTTGCCTGTATCGCACTCCAGAGCCTGTCTTGGAGAGTGGGATACCCAAACCATTTTTGTCACAAAAGGGAAACATGCACACACACTATGGATTGCCAGATAATGCTTGTGCCTGTCTCTTTAGCCCCCTCTCCCAGGTGCTTGCTTTGGTTTCCAAGCATGGATGCATTGTTTCCCAAAATGGTGTTGCATGCAGCTCTTTCCCGTTGGTGTGTAGTGCTTGGGCCTGGTACTCTCAGCATATTTGCAGCCAGGCTCCAGGAATGTTGTTATGACTTAGGAAAGTATGTGGAGAAAGGGTCATTGTGCATACAAATGGTTAGTAGAGAGAATCGGTGTTGGTGGGCCCTTTCTGGTGAGAAACCTTTTTTGGGCAGCTGAATTTTACATAATTTTTCCTTAGAGGTGCATTTTTTATCACATCATGATTCTGTCCTTTTCAAGGAAACAAAGGGAAAAATACAGACTTAAAGATCTCTTTCTGTTTAGGAATAACCATGGACAAAAGTGAGCTGGTGCAGAAGGCTAAACTAGCCGAGCAGGCAGAGCGTTATGATGATATGGCTGCTGCCATGAAGGCTGTTACTGAACAGGGACATGAGCTGTCCAATGAAGAAAGGAATCTACTGTCTGTTGCCTACAAGAATGTGGTTGGTGCTCGTCGGTCTTCCTGGCGTGTCATTTCCAGCATTGAACAGAAGACAGAACGAAATGAGAAGAAACAACAGATGGGAAGAGAGTATCGTGAGAAAATTGAGACTGAACTGCAAGACATTTGCAATGATGTTCTGGTAAGATACCAGTTACAATTTGTATAGTCGTGCTTTATAAGGCATTCCCATCTGTAAAAAAATATAAGATAACATTCATTCCTTGTTAATAGTTCTAGATTGGTTTAATAATAATAATATGATTTGCTTATAAAAGTTTTCTTTGTTGTGGATCTATGTAGATTGCAACAGTACTATAATATAAAAAGTATATTATCCTGTTCATGAGTTACAGAAATGTAGCCGTATGTATCCGATTGTAAATAACTTAGTGTTTGTATAATTAAGCTAGGCAATTGAACCATATAAGAGATACAGCAATCCTGTTAGTTCTTCCAGTTTCCATATTCTTTGTGTACATATGAATAGTTTTCATGCATGTACTGGTCTTGGAGGAATGATAAAAAAAACTATGCCTCCAAACTAAGCTAACTTAGTTTGGTTAGCTGTAAATGTGGTTGTATTAAGCATATCCCATCTTTACCAGTAAATTACTGAAACTGTACTTGTCAGTGGATGAAACCTATTAACTTCCTCTATATGCTCATGTATAAGTTTACAAATTTTAGTCCAAACAACCAATCGACTTATTTGACTTATCAAAGAAGGAACTGTCTCTGAGTAAAGTGGCAAAAGTCAAGAGCTTAGTCCATCCTAGGAAAACTTGAAAGATGCACCAACCCCTCTACTGTCTCTTAACAGACACAGCAACTCACCTACTACTGCCACTTATAGTCTTGTGGAAAGTCTGAGTGGAAAAATTGTGGAGGTAGTCAGGGACTGCTGGCCCCCCTGATGTGGCACTGGAAATTTATCCTCTTCACAGAATGACCCTTACTTATCCACAATTCATATTAAAATCTCTAATTGTGTTCCCCAAACTACCCCTCGACTTATACATGAGTATATGTGGTAGTTGGATGGTGTTTCTTTGATTCATATATATATAGCTTGAGCTCAGACCAGTTACATTCAAATATATTGATTGAGAACCATAGTCAGGAAGTTGTCTATGTTTGCCTGTGTATTGAACTTCAGGAGCACATGCACTAAATAACTTCTGATATGAAAGGATCAATCAGTGTATGATTTGAAAGATTCCTTTCACTATTAGCAACTATTACTTGAGTTCCTGTCTACATACTTTAAATGAGATACTACACTTTTCTGTAAATGCAATCACTTTAATTTTTACTTTAATATATATGCTCACACTAAAAAAAAGAACAACTATAGGCTTGCTGTCTTCTTTTAAAAGGGTATTGGAAAGTAATTATATCTGGTCACTGACAGGAAGCTGACTTAAGTCTGAATTGAATGGTACATTTAAAACAGATTAAACGGATTTGTTATAACTATGTCCTAGGTTCTGCTTCATCATAAAATGCCCAAATGCATATTGGACAGAAATGCTCACCTTCAAAACTACTAAATAGTCCAAACTGTGAAGGCATTTGTTTTTTAAAAATAATTTTTGTTTCATTTTGTTATACATTAAAAAGACAGCAACAACACACACACACACACACAAACTCCAAATTAAAAAGTCTCACCATGACCCACCCCACAATGCCCCTCCAACCCTACCTAAATGGAACAAAAAACAAAAACAAAAGACCATTAGAAACTCAATGGACACCCCTTTCATCAAGGAAAGGCAACTTTGAATTTATTACAAACATTTCTTGTTTTCTTTTATTCAGCTTCTGCTTAACATAAAACACCATATTTAACATCAATACTCAATCACAATCAAGTAATATTCATATCAACAATTTATTTGTTTTAGCTAAATTTTCAATTCATACAAAATTTAGTATTTTTTTCTTTACACTATTATCTTAATAACTCCCCAAATTTTATCCACTTTCAAATTAAATTAATGTTGTCCCCCTAATTTTGCCCTTTTGATCTAACATGATCGTATTGTGTTCCAACATTTTAAAATATATCTCATTATATTTTAATTCTTCTAATACAATTGTGTATATCCCTTACACTTTTAAAAACAATCCCAGCCCTATATGCTGAAGATCACTATAGAAGACCCAGTACTTATACTTGTTGACGCTTGTGTCATAGTAATGAATTTTTTAAAAAACACGGTGTATAATTTTATTAATTTGTTTTTCAGGAACTGCTGGATAAGCATCTTATTGCTAATGCTACACATCCGGAAAGCAAGGTCTTCTATTTGAAAATGAAAGGAGATTACTATAGATACCTTTCAGAGGTGGCATCTGGTGACAACAAGCAAAGTAACCAATTCACTTTCTTCTTAACAATGTCCTAAAATAATGTTCATAGAATTCAAGTTATATTTGTTTAAATGGCCTCAGATGTTCAGAATACAGGGGAGGAGAAACAGGAACTAGTAACTTCCTATTGCATTCACATGCAATAGGAAGTAAATGCATAAAGTTCCTGTGCAGTGTGAGCTTGAGCCTCTGACCACAAGAGAAGATGTGAAAGTTCCACTTTAGATGTTATAAGCTCCGTAGGAAGCAGAAAGGTTGAGTTGCTTGCACTTCCTGTTCTGCAAATCTTGACCCTGTAAAGTCACAGATTTACAGAAGAAAACATACTTGCATTTGGTAGTTCTAGAGGTTAAATCCTTCATGTAATGATTATGAGTTCAGAACACTGTTTTGTAATGCCCACTAAGCCACTGTTTTGCAATTGGCTCCTGTAATGAATCTCTTGATCTAAAGAAGAAACTAAGGTAGATTTTGGAATCTTGAAGTTTGCCTGTTTCCAGTTTAGGTAATTTGTCTTTTTTAAAACGCCTCTAAGGGCAGCTGGTTCTTGTGTCTGTTGTTGTATATCAGATTTACAAATGGCTCATATCCACAGTGAGCTTTAGAAATATACTTGTATAAGCAGTGTGGATTTTTTAATGCTTTACCACAGGACTGAGCTGAAATATGGAGATACATTCTCCAGAATTTCTCCTTTCACTTCAAAACCGTAAACATACACATTCTTGTGTTGTTTGCTGGAGAGTATGAGCAAGCGATTCTGTTGAACCCGGGTCTGTCTCATGGGCTTCTCACAGGCAGCTGAGTGGCTGCCTTGTGGATAGGATGCTGGACTTGGTCTTTTGTTTTAGTCGGTAGAGCTTCTCTTATATTCAATCATTAGCAGGGGGGTTTAAGTCCATGCTCTAACCTGTGTGATACCTAACATGTTGGGAGTAGTGGACTGTTGTATACCTCCTTGACTTGATAAGCAAACACTTGGGCTGTATATATTTCTCTTTATGTCAGTCATCCTTCCTGTTTGCTTTGCTTTGCAGCCCGGTTTTGGTGCATGTTGCTTATTCCTCTTACCAGAGGCCAGTTGTAAAGCTAAATGGTCCCAAAGCAGGACCTGTTCGAGTCTGGGCTTCCTTTTGCTGTGCCACAGTTACCAGAAAACACTGATCAAGCCTGCTGTATGTCAATACTTCTGGCTCTTCTGTTCATGTGAATACTCAGTTAAAATAAACTTTTATTTCCTCCTCCTTTTTGCAGCAACAGTAACAAATTCCCAGCAAGCATATCAAGAGGCATTTGAAATCAGCAAGAAAGAGATGCAGCCAACTCATCCTATTCGACTTGGTTTGGCACTCAACTTCTCTGTGTTCTACTATGAGATTCTAAACTCACCAGAGAAGGCCTGCAGTCTGGCAAAAGCAGTAAGCAGACTTAATCTTATGAAATGGTAGTAGGGAAAATATGTTTTATTTCACCTGGGGAAATAAACCAGGTGAAAGGAGGCATTTATGACTTAATCAATAGAGATTTGTGAGGCTTAGATTTCAATCATACCTTTCATATCAGGTTTGATCCCTAGAATAACTAGACCTGTTCAACTTCTATGCTTTAAAGAAATGTGATATCAGTAACAAAAATAAGGACATGCTCTTCACTTTGATGAGGCTGTCTGGGCAATGTTCAGCATTTTTATCTTGTTTGTGCTTAGAAGCTGAACATAGGGATGCAGATACATTAGACATTTTTCATTTGTGAAGGGGAGGCAAAGATTAAAGTGCTACGTTGATTTTAATTTCTTTTAGGCATTTGATGAAGCAATAGCTGAACTGGACACATTGAATGAAGAATCGTACAAAGATAGCACTCTGATTATGCAGCTACTTAGAGATAACCTTACTGTAAGTATTCTGTGTAAAAACTAGATGTAATTTGAAAGATGGCAGTATTAGTGGTCTTAAGTCTTATTGTCCCTTAAATAACAAATAGCGGCATCCTCACAGACTGTTTTGAGGATAGCGCAAAGTTCTATACATTAATTAATGGCAGCTCTTACTTAGCCTTGTGTGTGGAGCAATCATACCTGTAGTGGAGATCTTGTCAAGAACCCTTATCACTCTGATAACAAGTATTTGTGTATTGCCTGCAGGGTTCACATACTCATTGTTTGACTTAATCTAACCTCCAGGCTTAAATTCATTATTCATTAACTCTTCCATGCAAATAAATCATGTTTCTCTACTGAAACAAATTACCCCACCTCCTCTTTCTGGATCAATATATTTAACCGCATATTTTCATCATAAATATATTTGTATTTTCTTACAGCTATGGACATCGGAAAACCAGGGAGATGAAGGGGAAGCTGGGGAGGGCGAGAACTAATGGCTGTCACGCTTCACTATATGTTCAATGTCACTCTGTATCCTACACATTATATCCCTTTGTGCGACAAGCAAAAAGAATAGTACATCGACTTCACAACCTCAACGTAGCAAACTGTCTGTGGGGTAAAAACAATTGGTTGGTGTTCTGTGTACGTAAAATGGAAATCAGTTGAGCAGTGGCATTCTGAATCTTTCCTCTTATGAACACTTGCAATTTATGATTACCGTGTTTCTTCTTTTTTTATTATTAACTGAACACTGTGATTTATGGGTTTTGCAATTGCAATTGACTACAAAACTCTAAATGATGGAAGAGTAGACACAAATCATGTAATTCATTTGAAGGTTTCTAATCTGGTATCAAAGTTGTCAAAATACAATTCTGTAAAGTTGTACAGAAAATTATAGAGATTATATTGTGACACTGCAACATGGAAGGGAAACAATCTATTGTGTGACATTCCAGTTCAGTAGCTCATTTCTGTGAATTTAATAGGCACATTCATTCAGACTTTTTTATTTTGTTTTTTGAAATAATGATGCTGGACACACAGCTTTTCAGCCAAATGCTTATGTAAATGTAAACTTTTCTGAGACGTTAGTTTTAAGGCGGGGGGAAATGAAAGCCTAGTTTCCAGACTCTTAACAGTGGCAGAAAATGTTAGTGGCAGAATAAATAATCCAGTGCTTCTCACCATGGCATTAGCAAACCCATTCCCAAAGCAGTAAAGTCAAATATGTAATGTAGATTATTCTCAATATTGAATTAATGTCTAACATGGAATTCCAACAGGATATTTCAGCTTTTAATGGCCTTACTAGTTGCTGGATAATCATGTTAAATAGTAATTCTTTGCCCACTTGAAAATGTTAACATCTTAATTTTCCTCCTCCCTTCAGAGATAAGTCCTGTACCTTTCAATATCAGACAGCACTCACCAGATGGACTTTGTTTTCTCTCATCTTGCATGGACTCTTCGCTTTAAAGTTAGGGTCCTTAGTATGTGTTGTTAATCTGAAGTGATGGGGGAGATTTAGATATGGTGGAGGAAAGATCTTGCTTAGACACGGAAGAGCTGCCAATGCAGCTACACTTCTCAGTATCTGCCAGTCCTGAGTCATAACCAAGATCAGGCTCCTATTCAAGAGTCCCTAGAGCCACCTTAGAAATACAGATCATTAAACACACACATTATTTGTTAGCTTAAGATACTAAAATTCTGAATGTTCAACTGTTCATAAACATGTCCAATCAAGGATTAGAATTCAGTAGAAGATGCATAAAAATGCCGTAGAAATATTTGAAACATCACCCTACCAGTCTTTTCAGTGTCATTCCTCTGCCTATAACATTCCCCTTTGCTCAAAGGATCCATCTGTTTGTCTGTTCATCTGTCTGCTGAAGAAAGAACCTCATGCACTGACTTCAAATTCCCCCCGACTAGCTGAACAAATTGTGCAGTTATACTTGGCGCTTGATTAATGCAGTAGTGAATGTGGAACCGAGCCTGTCTGTATATCTGGTAGCTCTTTTTTGCTTTGTTTCTACTGACCAGTATTTTGCCTAAAGTTTGCTTCTGTGATGGTTGTATTGCCTAGCACACATGTGGTTGTGAGAATAGTATAGCAAAAAGAAATACCCGGTTATCGATGTACTAGATTTGTGTATGTCTTTTAAACAGTTCTAGTTTCACCTTACACAATCAGGAAAGTGTAAACAATTCAAAGACAATAAAAAATTTATCAGTTTATGGTCTGCTTTACATTATTTCCTACTGTCACAGCTCAATAGCAGTATGACTATGCTGTTTCATGTCGTAAACCTATACTGACTCTGCTAGAACAACTTGTAATACATGGAATTGTTCTTAGTTTGCAGAAGGCAGATGGGGACATTTATATAATTCTGGCGGTGTGAATTTAATTATTACTATTACTTTGTAAGAAAAGGGCAGCTCCTACTGTAATTTGTACCTGGAATAAAATTGTGCTTTGTAGGACAGTAGTACACACTGTACCCTTAAATCTCTATGGAAATGTCAACACAGAGGGCATAAAATCGGTAATACTGTAATTTGTGGCCTGACAAGAGCCTAAAAGCAGTTAGTTTTACAACTGAATAATTTCAACAGACCGGGGTTGGGGCTCAACAAACTGACCTTCTGAATATTTGATCTAGTATGATAGCTGTCCAAAAGGAGTATTTACTTGACTTTACTGACTAACATTAGCCAATAAACAGCAGCATCTAAAAAGTTACCTTACAGCAGCTGTGTGCCCAAGTTCTACAGAAGGAACGCCTCCTTGTATCTTCAGGGTCTGAGTGGTTGTTGCTGTTGTAGGAACAGAAGGGACACAAACACAGTCATTCTTAAGCTGTACACTCATTATAACTTGTCTTCTGCTCTCTCTTTTTTTTAAAAAAATCTTTATTGTATATTTTCCAGATTCTCTGCTTTCTGTTCCTGACTTAAGCCAAGTTTATACATAAGAGCTTCCATGTAGCTGCTTATTTTTTCAGTTCAGTATGGAAGAATCTATTAAAAGCAATTGTGTGAGATTAACATATTTGCTCACATGTATGTCAACCTCAAGGCTAGGTTTTAGACCCCAAATTATGGGTTTTGACATGACGTGGGTAAGTCGGGTCTCATTCTGTGGAAGCTACTGCCTTTTCCCTCCCCAGCTATTCAAAAAGACAAGGGATGCCATGGCAGAGAAAGTATAAGGGCTCAGTGCTTCTGTTAAATTCTCCCAGGATGGACTAAACTTTCACCACTCTAGTCAGAGAAGGGAGTGGCTCCTTTTATCATACGTTAAAATACAGTACTTACATTGACCCTTAGATAGGTTGCTGCAAGTTTTTGGGTTCATTTTTTTCACTAAAATTTCTAGAGTTATACATGAAAATATAGGGTACATCCTATGAAGTTAAATGCCCAGTGCAGTCAATTGTTTCTTGCCATGTGAGAAGGAAATACTGCAAAATTACTGTCATGCTGATAAAATGATCTAGATTTCCCATCCTTGGTTTCTCCAGATATTTTGGACTTCTACTTGGTTGTGCTAGCTAAGGTTTCTGGATATTGCAGTCTCAAAACACATGGAAGTCTAAAAGTAGTTAAAATGTAAATTGTAATTTGAAGTGTTTTTAAGGAAAAGAGGATACACAATGGAGCAGGTATTTAATGTATGTTGGGAGCTTAAATAGAGAAATGTCTCCTCGAAAAACCATTTCAAAACAATTATTTCACGCACACTATAACTTGCAAGGAGACAGGTTGCTCTAAGATTTTTCAAAGGTGGGATACAAATTCTGACAAAATTCGTATTCACTGGGATACAATTACTCATTAAAAGATAGTAAACGAGCTCTTTGCAATTCATAAAATCCTAACTTATAAAGAATTATTCTCATTATCTCTTACTACTGGGCATACTACATGAGGGCAATGACACCAACACTAGTGCCTTTATTTTGGCTATTTTAATTTTGCAGTGCAATTCATATGCATTAGTAGAAATGCTTTTCTTACAAAAACAAAAATGAATTTTCCTAAATATTCCAAATCCCAAATACATGTATAAATGTAAGCAAAATTAATTACATTGGCCCTTGCTTTCTTTTAATTTTCTGAAATAAGGTATTAACTCTTTTCTGTTACTTAAGACTACCTTTGTTATAAGGCCATGTCACATGGAGCTCTGGAAATCTTTGTTCCATGATAAAGAGGGAAAAAAACACAAAATCCTATGTATCGTAGATTATCAAAGTGAGACCTTGTAGGTAACTGTTTGAGAATTCAGAACTGTGCTTGTACAAGATATAATTAAAACCATTAAAAATCTGTGATTTGTGTTTTGTTATGTGTAGGAATACATAAGAGTCCAACTTTAAAACATCCTCCTGTGAGAGGTATTATACCACACATTCCAACTTTGTGAGCTTCACACTGGAAGATAGTATAGTGTGATAATGCAAAATTTTACCTTCTAATACATCTCATGACATCTGAAAAAAAGTGCCCAGTGTCCTGGAGAAACTTAAGCAAATTCTCCCTGAAAGGAGGCTCCATTTCCAAATACAAACTCCAGATTTATTACTGAATCTATGCTTAATTGAGTGTCAGAATAATTTCAGAAGGAATGTTGTTACATTTTACTTGTTTAATTATTGCTTGTATCTGTTTCATACAGTTAACATCAGGAGGTAGAGCTTTGGTCTGGACCACTTCAGAATACAAACAAGGAGTTGTATGTTTCAGTAATTCCGATACATGCAGCAAAAGTGGTGGGGATACATACATTGTGTTCCAAGTAGGATTAGCTGGAATTTGTACATCTTTTCAGTTCAAGAACTATGCTAATAATGCTATAAGATAATATAGGGAAAGTATTTAAGGACAAACTTCAGAGGGATTGGTTCAGTTCCCTTGCTGTTGCTGCAGTAACAAGGTCAATAAATTGCTACTTTTGCTAGAGTTAGAATTTGTGGCTGTCCCAACAGCCTATTTGGGAAATGATACAATATATGTCACACATTTAATGTCTCATCTATTGAAGAACTTTACACTGAATATTTACATATTTTAAGTATTTTGCAGCACCTGTACATTGTGGTAATCAGTTCCATTATTAATTCAACATCTATAATAATTACTACAGAGAGTTGTAATGAGACTCTAAATGACGTATTTCAACCATTTTGGGCATACAAAATAAAATACCAAGCTCTGTCTGTCTTCTGCCTCAGTCAGCTGGCCTCAGACTGCTATAATTTATCAGCTTCACTTTATAGAGGTTGGAGATTTCATTTTACCTGTCTCTTGTTCAATGAAATCCTCTGAGAAGCACAAAAGCTTCTTACCATCTGTATATGAGTTTTCCTTTCTCAGAGCAGATAAATAAAAGGAAATCCAAATTGCCTTCTGCGTGTTCTTCCTTAGTATGTCCAGCTGAGTTCCTTTCTTATCTCTTGGGTTCAGTTGATCGGCTTGAAATCCAAACAGAAGCTGTAAGTTTATACACAATGGGAATTCTATCAAAAATAATACTTTTGGACAATGACATTTTTATTATTATTGACAGTATTCTCATGTGTTTATTTTTAATACATGTTTTGTGTGTTTCCCTAGATCTTTGAACTTATAAATATGTATTTTTACATCTCATAAAAACTGCCTTGGTTTTACTGGATGGCCCTTGTGATCTCTTCCAACTCTGATCCAATTATTCTGTGTTTTATTGGACTGTCTCACCTGATATATATACATAAGAGTTCATCTATTTGGGAAGGGGTTTTTTTCATGTCAGGAGCAACTTTAGAGATTGCAAGTCGCTTCCGGTGTGAGAGAATTGGCCATCTGCAAGGACGTTGCCCAGGGGTGTTTTTACCATCCTTGGGGAAGGCTTCTCTCATGTCCCCGCATGGAGAGCCAGAGCTGACAGAGGGAGCTCATCTGCACTCTCTCCGGATTTGAACCTGCGACCTGTCAGTCTTCAGTCCTGCCGGTACAATGGTTATACCCGCTGCACCACCGGGGGCTCCATATTTGGGAAGAAAAAGTATAGAGCCTAATTTAATCTGTGGGACCTTTTACAAAATGCTGTAATGCAGGATGTTCCTAAAAGGTCCGCAATGTCCTTTTCCAGGATAAAGTCATCCATGGATTCTGCATCTGCTAATTCAACCATCCACAACTTGTATCTATTTTTAAAACAATCCAAAAGACAAAACCAGTGGTTCTCAACCTGTGGGTCCCCAGGTGTTTTGGCCTACAACTCCCAGAAATCCCAGCCAGTTTACCGGCTGTTAGGATTTCTGGGAGTTATGGGCCAAAACATCTGGGGAACCCACAGGTTGAGAACCAATGACCAAAAGCTTGATTTTGCAGTTTTATAAAAGGGACAGCATTTTCCTATGCAATTATATGAGATTTGAGCATTCATGGATTTTGGCATCCATAGTGATCCTGGAACCAAACCCCAGCAGATACTAAGGGCCCACTGAACTCCATTTTTCACTCCACCCTATTAACATGCTGTGCTCATTGAATATGCTCAGTCCTTGTGCTGTTTTTCCCTCCTTTATAACAGGATTGGTAATCACACTGTCTTTTCAGTGTTTGATTGGAAATCCCAGCAGCCAGGACACTGTAGTCCAAACATGGGCAAACTTCAACCCTCCAGGTGTTCTGGACTTCAACTCCCACAATTCCTAACAGGCAGTGAGCTCACTGGGATTTCTGGGAGCTGAAGTCCAAAGCAACTGGAAGACCAAAGTTTGACCATGCCTGGTGTAGTCAATGGTAAGGAACACTGGGATTTGCAGTCCAGTGACCATCTCTACAGCTGTGATTTCTGTATTGTCAAAGGCTTTCATGGCTGGAATCACTGGGTTGTTGTAGGTTTTTCAGGCTGTATGGCCATGTTCCAGAAGCATTCTCTCTTAACATCTTGCCTGCATCTGCGGCTGACATCTTCAGATCTGAAGTGAGATCACAACCTCTGAGGATGCCTACCACAGATGCAGGTGAAACATCAGGAGAGAATGCTTCTAGAACATGGCCATGCAGCCTGAAAAACCTACAACAACCCATACATGATTTCTGATCCTCACGTTAACAGCATTTTGTTTAGTTATCCCAGCAATCCTTTGGTTGGTCCCCTCCACATCTTTCTATCTGACCCTTTATCTTTATGGGTGGTGGTGCTTCGGCTACATAAGGGTTTTTGTCTGCCTTCAAGTCATTCCCAATTTATAGCAATGCTTTAAGGTGAGAGTTCCTTGGACTGCCAGAAGATTCAACCAGTCCATACTTCAGGAAATAAAGCCCGACTGCTCATTGGAGGGAAGGTAGTAGAGGCAAAGATTAAGTACTTTGGCCACATCATGACAAGAAAGGAAACCTTAGAGAAGACAAATATGCTGGGGAAAATTGAAGGAAAAGGGAAGAGTGGCCAACCAAGGGCAAGATGGATGGATGGCATCCTTGAAGTGACTGGATTGACCTTGAAGGAGCTGGGGGTGGTGACGGCAGACAGGGAGCTCTGGCGTGGGCTGGTCCATGAGGTCACGAAGAGTCGGAAACGACTGAACAAATGAACAACAACAAACATAAGGTGACCTATCATGGGTTTTCCTGGCAAGATTTGTTCAGAGGTAGTTTGCCTTTGCCTGCCTCTGAGGATTAGAAAATGTGACTTGCCCAAGGTGACCCAATGGGTTTCTTTGGTCAAACAGAGTTTTGAACACTGGCCCCAGTCCAACGCTCAAACCACTACATCACACTGGCTCTGTAAAGAAGAATAGGGTCTTGTGATTAGTCCATACAGTTTAAGAGAGCCTGGATTTGGTCTTGGTACCTATTTTTAATCTTAGTTTTGAGGTGAGGAATTCTTGGATTGGGACTACAACTCCTATATATCTTCTTGATTTGGAGTTTAAATCCAGTATGCCCATAGCGTGGCTAAAAATTATTGCCTCTGTGCTTGGTAATTCAGAATAGTTCTAAAGAAAAATACATAGCTAAATATGCTCAGAGTGCGAATGTTAACATTGTCCTACCAGCCACCCCATATTAAAAAGCGGGTGAGTTGGTTCCCCAGAATTGTATTCTTTCTACTTCAGTACTATTACTATTGAATTGACCTCTTAGAGCAGTGATTCTCAACCTTCCTAATGCCACAACCCCTTTATACAGTTCCTCATGTTGTGGTGACCTCCAACCATAAAGTTATTTTGTTGCTACTTCACAACTGTAATTTTGCTACTGTTATGAATTGTAATATAAATATCTGATATGCAGGGTGTATGCAATCACTGGACCAAATTTGGCACAAATATGCCCAAATTTGAATATGGGTGGGGTTGGTGTGTGTGTGTGGGGGGGGGGGGTATTGATTTTGTCATTTGGGAGTTGTAGTTGCTGGGGTTCATTGTTAACCTGCAATCAAAGAGCATTCTGAACTCCACCAATGATGGAATTGAATCAAATTTGGCACACAGAACTCCCAGGATCAACAGAAAATACTGGATTTGGTGGGCATTGACCTTGAGTTTGGGAGTTGTAGTTCACCTACATCCAGAGAGCACTGTGGACTCAAACTATGAAGGATCTGCACCAAATTTGGCACAAACACTCAATATGCCCAAATGTGAACACTGGTCGAGTTTGCAGAAAATAGACCTTGACATTTGGGAGTTGTAGTTGCTGGGATTTATAGTTCACCTACAATCAAAGAGGCCATTGAGCAATAGAATTGGGTCAAACTTCCCACACAGAACCTGTGTTTTCTGATGGTCTTTGGTGACCCCTCTGACACCCCTCATGACCCCAGGAGTCCTGACCCTCAGGTTGAGAAACACTGTTCTAGAGAATAGATATGGGACCAATCACCTGAGAGTTCCATTGAAAAGAGGTAGTTGACTACAGGGGAAGATAAAATTTTGAAGAATTATGCAAAGGGAAGGAAACTACATCTCTGCAGATTTTTTGGATTACATATTCTGTTGTCCCAGACAGAATAGCCAACAGCAAGGAATGTTGGGAGTGACTATTCTACAACATTTGGAGAGCCACATATTTCCCACTGCGATTGAATATTCACTTCCAGTGACTTGCATAGTTAGGGGATCCTGGGAACTGTAGTCTAGGAAAGTAAATTTTCTAAGCTTTGCATATGATGAGAGCAGGTCCTGGGTGGCCACACCTGTACCTCTGAAGAGAAGGGGGTGGGGCCAAGGAAGTATGAGAGCTACTTCCACATTTGAGAGCACCTGAGTGGAAGGTGAGCTCCTTGCTAGTGATCTTGGATAAAGCCACATGTGAGTATTATATGGAGTGGGGAAAGATGACTGGAGAGCTGCAGAGTTGTATATCTTCTTATATGTGATCCTGATTTTATTTACTTGGTAAAAAATCTCACTTTGTTTAGGAGGACTCCATCTTGGAGTAACTACCCAGCACGGAGACAAACTATGTTATGTGTTGTAAAGTTAACCTTCTGTAGTTGTTTCCTTTCTCCAGCTTTGCTTGATTCCTATTCTTTTTGAAATGTACCTGTTCCAGGTGAAGTCCGTGAAAGCTAGTGCAATATGTATGTAGACATAGGTTAAAATCCCACTTGCTGACTAACTTTGAAATAACCACTGTTTTTCTTTCAATGTGGTCCTACTTCATTGTATTGTTGGTAATGTAAAATAGATGAGAGTGACTTCTCTTTGAAGGCAGGGTAAGATAATAATGTAATTTATTACAGATGTTCAAGTATACCTCAGTTAACAAAGTATCTGCTCCCAGGAATTCCTCCTGTAATAATTTTCTACCAGAGGTAGAAATTACATAAATGAACAAGGATAAGTTCATATACTATCAAAATAGAGAGAGAGATCAATCTGACATGTTTCAGTAAACTGCATTGAAAACTAACAATATGTACATGCTTAATGGAGCAAATCCAGTCAAGTAAGCCTCATATAAGTAAACAAAACATTTTGAACTCTCTGGAGGCCACTTTAACACTTCTTCCAAAATTTTCTGAAGAATATTTTTCTCTCAGCAGCCTTCAGTTTTGGTGGCCAAACTATGCTTCTTTTAATAGAGCTATGCTTCTTTTAATATGCATGACAGCCAATTAAGCAGGCCTATCTGGTCTTCTCTCTCTTTTTTTGATCCTCACATTTACTTATGTCTTGGGGCAGCTGCTGTTTATCTTGTTTGCTATAAGTAGACACATACAGATACAGGAGAATTGGCTAAATCAGAATCCCATTCTTTTCCAGCTGAAGCTTCTTGCACTATTCACTACAGACATACTGCTGCAACCTGACTTTTTTTTTCAGCCCTCATAGAATCATAGAGTTGGAAGGGACCACAAGGGCCATTGTGTCCTAATCCTTGCCATGCAGGAACACACATTCAAAGCATCCCTGACTATGCAGACTCTACTTAACCCCCGTCAAAGGAGTCTCCTCCCCATCCATTTTTTAAATAAACCTTGCAAACAGACTGTCAGTTCTTTTTTTGCCTAGACTGAGTTTTACCACCCCTTACATTAACACAAGTGGGCAATTTTTTGTTTTTCTGAATGTAATGTACAACCTCATCCCATTACGTATGGGAATTTCCACACACCATGACAAAATAGATGTGGTTTGTGGGGAAACCATCACCCCAATCCTGCATTGCTTGGCTTCTCCTTTACCCCATTCCACGGGGCAACTGTCTGCTACCCGGCTTCCCCCCATTGTTGGCTATGCAACATGGGAATCTTCCCATGTTGCCATGGCAGTGGCATGAGCCACAGAGCCCAGCCAGAAGTAGTTCGATATTGTGGGCTGGATGCCAGCAGGTTAACGTGGCACAAATAGAGTAGGAACGCCATAGGACAGGCAATTTAGCCCATCTTATGAGGTTCCTAGTGACTGTTTTAGACAGTTACACCAATCTGTTGTGCATCATTTAGAGTGGATTCTGCGGATAATGCTTCAGCTGTACTTCATAGAAAGGAAAGGGGGAGCCATGGTTCTGTAATGGGCTAAACCTTTGTGCCAGCTGAACTGCTGTCCTGAAGATCTGAAGGTTGGCGGTCAAATCCACGAGACAGGGTGGGCTCCGGTCTGTCAGCCCCAGCTTCCCATGCGGGGACATGAGAGAAGCATCCCACATGATGGTAACAAATCCGGGCATCCTCTAGGCAATGTCCCTGCAGACTGCTAATTCTCTTACACCAGAAGCAACTTGTCTCAAATCACTTCTGACATTATTTTAAAAAAGGAAAATCCATTCTGTTTAGCAAGCCTTTCAAATGCCAATTTTGTTATCAGGAAATGTTTGATTTTTATATCTATTCTATGTACCTGTATACCTGTAAAAAACCTTGGGTCAAAATGGATCCCAGCTGTTCATCCTTGATGCTTCATTGTATTTACCATATTGTTGACACTTTCTGAACTGTTGACTGTGAGGGTGCAATCAGATTACAAGGGAACTATCCCTTCCTGATAATACACATTGCCATTTTTGCATCTTGCTGTCTCTGTTATTTTGCATGGGAGTAACTAGGTTTTGCTTCACTTCCAAAGTTACACTTCATGATTGACCATGAATGCTAGTGGCCCAGGATATCCATTAGCCAGCCTCTATGTGGGGGACTTACATCCGGACGTGACTGAAGCCATGTTGTATGAGAAATTCTCACCTGCTGGACCAATCATGTCCATCAGAGTTTGTCGAGATGTTGCTACACGTCGATCTCTAGGTTATGCTTATATAAACTTTCAGCAGCCTGCTGATGGTAAGTAGGAGTTCTGATTTATTCTCTGCCTTTCTTCTAATTTGAACTAGCAAGACTGACATGCAAATGTAATCTATACTGTATTCTACAAAATACCAAAAATGCAATATTATTTCATATGTAATTTATTAAAAGGTAAATTGGAAGATAATTGGGTAATAAAAGATGCTAAAGCATCAGTGCCTGTTAACTTGCCCCTTTTGGTGCAGTGGGTTAAACCATTGTGCCAGCAGGACTGCTGACTCATAGGTCAGTAGTTCGAATCCGGGGAGAGTGGGTTGAGCTCCCTCTGTCAGCTCCAGCTCCCCATGCAGGAACATGAGAGAAGCCTCCCACAAGTATGGTAAAACATCAAACATCTGGGTGTCCCCTAGGCAACGTCCTTGCAGACAGCCAATTTTCTCACACCAGAAGTGACTTGCAGTTTCTCAAGTCACTCCTGACACATACAAAAAAAACCCTTTCATGTCATAATTGATCCTGCAAGACCTATGTCGTGCATGACACATCAGGATTTTTTAACTATCCTCCAGTAGCCTTCTCCAGCACTGAAGACCACCTTCAGAGACTTTCCTAACCTTTTTGGAGCAAACTTTAAATAGTTTTAGGAGGATGTGGGATTGTACATGCAGTCCATGTGCTGACACAAGTTGCTTCTGTGAGCGCAATGACGGCATTGAATACTGACTGAACATTCAATTGAAACTTTACTCTTTACTCTTACAAGTATTTTGGATTCTGCTGGTCTGTCATGTCTATCTTGCATTGCTTCTGATATCTGAACACTACTAGAAAGAACATTTCACTGTTGTTCTGTTAACAATTGTTTTGATTAAAGATAACAATTGCGATGTTTGCTCTAGTAGCATACATTTAAATACCCAATCATTACATCTATTCAACCATGGTTTCTTTTATGTATGGATGACACGGTTGCCCTATAGGAAACTACTAGCTTGGATACCAGGTGTGGTCTGGGTTATTTGAAAAAGCCAATATTTTAATTTGCAAAATGCATAAGGTTGTGGGTGAACAACAATTCACATCATGCCAGGTTAAGCCCAAAAGACTCCATCAGTACTTAAAGTTTTTTATGTTGCGTAAGTTTGCTCCAGATGCATCATCGGTGGAGTTCAGTGTACTTACTGGTTGTAGGGTAAACTACAACTCCCACTATGGTGAGTCAGTCCCTTCAAACCCTCCAGTAGGTTGAGTTAATCACAGGGGCTTTGTGTGCCAAGTGTGGTCCAGTTCCGTCTTTAGTGGAGTTCAGAGTGCTCAATGATTGCAGGTGAACCATAAATCCCAGTACCTAAAATTCCAAAATGACCTCATTTCCTCAAAACCCACCAATATTCAAATTTGGGCATATTGGGTATGCATGCCAAGTTTGGTACAGAATCCATCATTGTTTGTGTTCATCGAGCACTCTGGCTGTAGGTAAACTACAACTCCTATAAATCCCCCCAAAGACCTCCAGTATTTTTTGTTGGTCATGCGGGTTCTGTGTGTCAAGTGAGTTCCAGGTTCATCATTGGTGGTGTTCAGAGTTCTCTTAGATCACAGGTGAACTATACATCCCAGTACCGACAACTCCTATAAATCATGGTGAATTTTCCCCAAACCTCTCTAGTATGTTCAGTTGTGATCAATTCCTCTGTTTGCTGTGTGCCATAGAAAAGAATAGGAAAAGGTTAAGAGAGAGGCAATGGGTGGGGTCATGCAAATTACACACCAGTGGAGAGAGTAAGAAACACTGGGATGTCTGTGGTGGAGGAAACACATACAGTCTAGGATGAAATTTTCCCTGTATAAAAGCTTTCACTTGGGTGGTGGGCAGTATTGTGTTGTGGAGGACATTGGCAGGGCTCATGGTGCGTACTATAATCTTCAGTGTCATTGAAGGGAGGGCCATTGGGGTCTCCTGAGCAGTGGGAGTTATAGCTGTTTGTGGAGGCATGAGCTTGTGTGTGTAAGTAAACACTCCAGCCACATACACACACACATATTTTCACTTTTATTATGTATACAGATATGCTTTAAGGAGTTTCAGTTTCACTCCTTACACTAGCTTTCCAATTCTTTTTACTTGGCTGTGAAATTTGCAGATTTACTTCTACTTCTGGGAAATCACATATACTGTCCATGCAAACAGGTTAGACATATCTAATTTGTTCATTCTTCCCATTTTTTGTTTATGTCGTGTATAAATTAATGTGTTTTTCTCCTGTCAGCTGAGCGGGCCTTGGATACCATGAATTTTGAAGTTATAAAGGGTCGGCCCATTCGCATCATGTGGTCCCAGCGAGATCCAGGACTCAGGAAATCAGGTGTTGGCAACATCTTCATTAAGAATCTGGATGATTCTATTGACAACAAAGCCTTGTATGATACCTTCTCCGCCTTTGGGAATATTCTTTCTTGCAAGGTAGTTACAGCAGAAGTAGTGTTCTTGTAAAGCATCTGTGGTTTTAATGTCTGCTATGTTTGTCATATGAGCTCCCGGTGGCGCGGTGGGTTAAAGCACTGAGCTGCTGAGCTTTTTGATCAAAAGGTCGCAGGTTCAATTCTGGGGAGCGGCGTGAGCTTCCGCTGTCAGCCCTAGCTTCTGCCAACCTAGCAGTTTGAAAACATGCAAATGTGAGTAGATCAATAGGTACCGCTCCGGCGGGAAGGTAACGGCGCTCCATGCAGTCATGCCGGCCACATGACCTTGGAGGTGTCTACGGACAATGCTGGCTCTTCGGCTTAGAAATGGAGATGAGCACCACACCCCAGAGTCAGACATGACTGGACTTAATGTCAGGGGACTACCTTTACCTTTTTTTACCTATGTTTGTCATATTAAAAATCTGAAATCATAAAAATGTTATCACTCTGACTTCAACCTTCTGTAAATTCAATCGGTGAGCCACAATTTAAAATGCAAGAGCATTCCTGCTGGTTAATCCTAATTAGAGTGGAGCCACTGGATTTACTCTAGCTGGAACTACCAATAAAATTCAGCCCAAAATCTAATGCTACCTTGGTGGGTTTTCCTTGGGTGAGGTTCTCAAAAAATTTATTTTATTCCCTGAGCTAAAAATGTTAGATGACTGTCATCAACCCAAATAGCATATTTTTTTTTCAGATAGAGTAAATGAAGGGCATTCTTTGGTTTAGTTTCTACAGCAGTGGCTCTCAACCTGTGGGTCCCCAGGTGCTTTGGCCTACAACTCCCAGAAATCCCAGCCAGTTTACCAGCTGTTGGGATTTCTGGGAGCTGAAGGCCAAAACATCTAGGGACCCACAAGTTGAAAATCACCGTTCTACAGCAAACCAACAAAGCAGTATTTCAATACTGTAGGTGTTTAGAGTATGAGTCTAGTCATATTTTATTTTCATTTTAATATGTAAGATGATAACATTGGCTATGTATAAGCCTTCTGATTCTACTCTTTCACCGGTACCAGTCCAGTGTTTGATCCTCTCTCTTGTAACTGTTGTACAGCAACTTGTGAACACTGGGGAAACAAAGAACTAACTATGGATCATTTTTTATTTTCATATTTCTAACTCTTCCCTTCTTTTTCTTGCCCTTCAAACTTGTGTTAACAGGTTGTTTCTGATGAAAACGGATCCCGGGGTTATGGATTTGTCCATTTTGAGACCCAAGAGGCAGCAAACAGAGCGATTGCCACAATGAATGGAATGTTACTCAATGACCGAAAGGTGTAAGTGAAGGCTGGGGGAGATGGATAAGAAAGATTTCTATGATGTCCTTTATGGTAAACCATGGATTTAACTTTTGTGGATGTGATTATTAAGCAGTTTGATAAATATGATCTAGATCCTTCAGTGTGGCTCTATGGTCAACATTGGCCAGAGGTTGACCATGGAGTTGCACTGGAGGACCTAAAGATGTTCTCTCATGTAACCCCCTTCCCCACATTTTCTTATTTGTGGTTTTCCACTTTTGTGGAGGTCCTGCGCCCCAATCCCTGCAGAAAAATGGAGGTGCAGTGACTGATATACGTCTGCATTACACTGTGCATTCAGAAAAAGCATTTTCCGTCTAAGGAGGAGGTAAAAAGGGAAAAGTATTAAAAGCTGTTTATTTCTAGGAAAAATAGCTTCCAGGTCCTTCTCATTAATGTAACATATGGTACCCTCACTTTTTCAGATCAAGCCTCATGGTGTTCAAAGCCAATCTGTTTTGGCAGACAAGGCAGAAAATCTCACAAGTTCCTTTCACTGTCCCTAGCAATAAAAATACAAGGCAAACAATTAAGAATGTTTTGCCTTTTCATGATCTCTGAAATTTGAGGATCATCAGTTTTGTTTCAAAGGCATGTTTAGGGCCACTGTTGTTTGTTCCTGCATAAGACCCCCAAACTCCCATTTTCACACAAATGTTTTATTGGAAAGTAGATGATGTATAGAGAGATTCCTTTCATCCTGATAGATGCAAATTATAGACATGAATGGTTTTGCCATTGGTAGGGAAATTGTTTTCCGGATTTGTTTTGTCACTGCATGTTCTAACTAGGGAATATGTGTTGAATTAACCCAAGGTTGAATTACCTTGCTTCTCTTGTGCATTTGCCATTGTCTGGGCTCTGAAAAGTTTTCCTGAACCTTATCTACAGGTTTTTTTTGTTGAAAAGAAGAGGTTCCTACTGAACATTCCCTTGCCCATTATGTAGGACCAATACAGAAGGAATTTCTAAGCTCCTTCTGCACAGCTTTACAAAGTAGTTTTACAGATGTTGCTTACTGTTGCAGTTTTGTTGGTAATTTTAAATCTCGACGTGAGCGTGAAGCTGAATATGGAGCCAAGGCAATGGAATTCACTAACGTTTACATCAAGAACTTTGGAGAAGATATGAGTAATGAGAGGCTGCAAGAAACATTTGCAATATTTGGTAAGAGCAGTGCTTTAAAAGAGGAAACCTATAGGGCTTTGATAGGGATGTCAATCCTGAGGCTCATTCTCTTTTTGCCACCCATTTGGATTTTTCCTTATACGTTGGATGCAACTAGAAAACACAACTAGAATTGCCTAGGAGCACCTACAACAATCCTTTTGGAAGCTAGGAACATAGGTTCTTGATCCCTGCCCTTAACTATAGAGTGTTGCTACTGAATGTCCTAGTTAAGGATGCATTTCAGCATGGAGTTTCAATAGTTTTCCCTTTGTAGCTATTAAATTTGGAGATGCTACCCTGATAGACTGCAGACAATGTTGTTTCTCTGATCACTCTAGCAGTGTGCTGCTTGTGTAGCAGCCAGGATTCACTTTATAGACAATCAAAGGGTGTGTGGGACTTATCAAGTGTTGGAATGAAACTTATTGGTACAGAAATCCTTATCCTGTAATCAGGGCCTGTCCCTTAGAACAAAAACTTGACTGCAGGATAAATTTATGCAAGTTGAAAAAGCATAGGTCAGGAAAAAAGGTAATCCTACCTGGATAACACCATTATTCTTGCCCTGAGATGTAACTTTTGACCTCAACCCTTCTCTGAGATTATGTGCTGGTGATCTTGCTGACCTGAAGTTATTCTGTTTCCAGGAAAGACATTGAGTGTCAAAGTCATGACGGATAACATAGGCCGTTCAAAAGGGTTTGGGTTTGTCAACTTTGAGAAACATCAGGATGCTCAGAAGGCAAGATATAATCTTTGTTCCTTCTATTTCAGTCTAATGTCTGTTTGCTTGTATTGTCGAAGGCTTTCATGGCCAGAATCACTGGGTTGTTGTAGGTTTTTCGGGTTGTATGGCAGTGTTCTAGAAGCATTCTCTCGTGACGTTTCACCTGCATCTATAGCAAGCATCCTCAGAGGTTGCCTCACAACCTCTGAGGATGCTTACCACAGATGCAGGTGAAACGTCAGGAGAGAATGCTTTCAGAACATGGCCATACATCCCAAAAAACCTACAACAACCCACTGCTTGCTTGCTTTCATCTTAGTAGAGTCTCATTTGTCCAACCTTCACTCAGCCAGCATTCTGTATTATCCAACACAGTTTGCCTCCCGCCCGGATCCACAGCTGTTTCAATACATTGTGATGTTTTGGTGCTAAATTCGTAAATACAGTAATTACTACATAACTTTACTATGTACTGAACTGCTTTTTCTGTTGATTTGTTGTAAAACATGATGTTTTGGTGCTTAATTTGTAAAAGAAGATAAGAAACAGGAGGAAATAAGAATGATTGCCAACACCTACGCACTGTCCAACCCAAATGCAATGCTGGTCATACCGAGCGACACATGAGTTGCATGAATGGCAATGAAAGGATCTCAAAGGTTTTTTCACAAGACAAGATGTGCAAAAGGTTCTGAAATCCAAGGAGCCATTTTCTGCAACGTAATTTGACATTTAATAGGCTTTTCCTTAATCCCTCCTTATTGTCAAACATTTTCACTTATCCAATGTTTTGTTTATGTTGGATAAGTGAGACTCTACTGTATTACAATTCACATATTTATCAAAACTGAACTAAAAAGCCTTATTGATGGAGAGAGACTTGACTTGTGAGTTAACAGGTTCTTTGCATTTGGTTCTTCATCACACATCAGACTTTTGTCAAGAAGCTCTTTCTCATGCTACTGAAATGTTCAACCTTCAGTACCAGTTAAGTTCAGCCTCAAAGGTGGATGATGGGTGAAATTTCAAGGTCTATGGTATCTCAAGAAGGAAGGACATTAAAAATGCAACAAAGCATTAAACCAGTAAAATCTTTCTGTGATAAATATGTCTGGCTGATAAAGAAGAGAGTTGGTACTACAACCCTTCATGGTCAATCCTTATTCTTGATGCCTGGTTTCCTGGCAGGCTGTTGAAGACATGAATGGGAAGGAAATCAACGGCCGAATGTTGTACGTTGGCAGAGCTCAGAAGAGGATGGAACGTCAGAGCGAGCTGAAACGTAAATTTGAACAAATCAAACAGGAAAGAGTGAGCAGATACCAGGTAATATGAAATTAGAAACAAGACCAGAGGCTCACTGGGTGTTACAAAGGGCACGAAGAGCCTGTGATTTTAAGAATCCAAAATTCTATGCATATTGCTGTTCTATCACAGCAGAGAATGGTGGCTAGAGTTGATTTTCTTCTTGTTTAGTTTTCACAGGCATATATAGAAATTTTAAGTATTATGGCCTGGGTGAGCTCTTATGGAATGCAAGATGATAGGTTGGTTGCTGATGCAGACATGTGGTTCCTTTTCAGCCTTATGATGGCGCTTTATGTATGGTTGCCTTTGAAGACTGTTCGGAAGCTTCAAATATCCAATGAGAGGCAGCCAGGTTAATAACTGGGGTGGCCTACAGGGAACACACAACTCCCATGTTGTGCCAGCTCTTCTGGCTGCCAGTTTGCTACCGAGCACTATTCAAAGTGCTGGCTTTGGTCTATCAAGCTCTAAACGGCCCCGGCCCAATTTATCTCCCTCTATAAACCACTACGGAGACTAAGATCCTCTGTGGAGGCCCTGCTCTCAGTCCCATCACAGGCGTGATTGGCAGGGACGAGAGACAGAGCCTTCTCAGTAATTGCCCCTCGGCTCCATTCCTGGCGAGATCAGATCAGCCCCCTCCCTCTTGTCCTTCAGAAAGATGGTAAAAACTTGGCTGTGGAACCAAGCCTTTGGGCAGTGCAATAAGTTAATAATATTGTATGGCTGGTTTGAGATGGTTTTTAACAATTTGATTTTAAAGTGGTTACAACTGATTTCAAATGTTTGTGTATATTTATAGTTTGTTTTTGTTCCAGCATTGAATGTTTGTAGTATTTATGTTGTGCTCCACCTTGAGTCCCCTTCCAAGTGAGAAGGGCAGAATATAAATGCTTTAAATAAATAAATAAATGTTGGTCTATCTTTTAGAATATTAAAATGGGGAAGTTCACTGTGCTTACTTGCTTCTAGGGAGTTAACCTGTATGTAAAGAACCTGGATGATGGGATTGATGATGAGCGGTTGAGGAAAGAATTCTCTCCCTATGGAACCATCACCAGTGCTAAGGTAAGGCTGGGTCATAAACAGCTTTTGGAAGGAATTCGTTAAAAATAATACATTGCCCACATACATAGAAAACAACAGTAGGCAGAGAAGCAAGCTAGCAAATTGATTAGAATTCAGGACAGGTGTAGAAGTGTTGATGGCTGAGCATGGCATAGTATGGACTCACTTCTGATATTGCCAGTCTTCACTACAGTCATTATTTGACTATTTGTAAAAATTGAGCCTTTAGTATCTACGTGAGGGGGTTCCAGGATTCCCCATGAAAACAAAAACATGTGGATGTTCAAGTTCCATTTTAAAACTGTGGATAGTGGAATTCATGGACAAAGAATCTAGTTCCTGTATTACCTGATAGTTCCAATATTTATATTCCTCATGCTGGCACTGGAGAGTGGGAGACATTTGGCTTTAATCTAGTTATGGCTGAAGATTTCCACATGTAGCTTTGAATTGGAAACAAGGGCTTAAATCAGGCATGAGCAAACTTCAGCCCTTCAGATGTTTTGGACTTCAACTCCTACAATTCCAGCAGGTTATTAGGAATTGTGGGAGTTGGAGTCCATGCCTGGCTTAAACCATACAGTGTGCTTGGAATTGTACCTCACATTGTGTACAGGCAGTCCCCAGGTTACAAACATCCCACTTACAAATGACTCGTACTTAAGAACAGGGATGAGGCAACAGAAAGTGAGAGAAATCTACCCCCAGGGAGAGAAATCCAGTCCCGAAAGAGTTATCATGATGCCTCCACTGAAGCTTTCTCACCAATCCTTGTTTCCACAACAATCCTAATTTTTCAAAATCCAATTATCTCAGAGACAGAAAGTGAGGTGAAATTCTCTGAACGGGGGCACAGACAGCAAAAATCTACCTGTTCTGACTTACATATAAATTAAACTTAAGAACAAAATGATAGAACCTAAATCTGGAGACAGCCTATATATTTTTGGGTAAGATGTCAGTTGATCTCTTTCCTTTGCTATCCATGTCTTTGAACGTACCTGCAGATGGGAGTGTTACTGTGATCTCAGTGGCCTCTCTTGATAATTTTCAAATTATAGGTGATGACAGAGGGTGGACACAGCAAAGGTTTTGGGTTTGTATGTTTTTCCTCACCTGAAGAGGCCACAAAGGCGGTGACTGAAATGAACGGGAAGATTGTCAGCACCAAGCCTTTATATGTTGCCCTAGCCCAAAGGAAAGAGGAAAGAAAAGCCATTCTGACCAACCAATACATGCAGAGACTGGCTACTCTCAGAACCTTGCCTGGCCCACTCTTCTGCTCCTTCCAACCTCCTCCGGGTTACTTTGTGTCTTCCATTCCACAGGTAAGATTCATACTGCTATTAAACATATTAAATACTGGCAATGGTAATGATATGGGAAGATTTTAGGATCATAGAATCATAAAACCTTGAGTATGAAAGGATCCAATAGGTCACCATGTGTACTGAAATCATTTTGTTTTTCCCATTGTCAGACTTCGTTACCTTTTAAATGTAATTCCGTCTTGTTTTATCGTGTTTTAAAAGTAAACACTTTTTCCCCTATTTTATAAATGTCATTTCCTTAATTGGTTCTAGCATAAAAACATGGGGAAAGTTTATTAAACTGCAAAAACTTTGTGTTTGTGGGACATTCATTCAGCAGCACATTTTGCTATATGTTTTCAATGGATATCTCTTTGAGTCTCAACATAGTTTGTGGCAGACACAAAAATGAAGTTTCTGGAGTATAACAACTACTTTCAAAGTAAGTACTGCACAAGTACTGCACAATTAAAGAGGAATAACATTTTCAAACCAGGAACAGAACATATTTTCAAATGTTGTTACATGGTGTTACTGAGTCCCTTAGGGGAGACGGTGGGTTTTATTTATTTATTTATTTATTTATTTATTTATTTATTTGTTGTGTTATTGTCATAGGTCCAAACAGTCCTCATAAAGTTAATTTTATGTTGCCCACTGAATTGCTTGTTAACTTCTTTTTTGTTATTATTACTTTTTACAAAAGAGAATTTGACATGAAAATAAGCACAAACCCTCCCAAAAGTTTCTGTTAAATTATGTAGAAGACCTTACTCATTATACCAGTAAATCCACTTCATTTCCACTTAATGCATTACCTTTGAAATGTGACTCCATTTGCCCTTGTTATAAAAATGGGTACTAGTTATTTATAACTCCTTCCTTTCCTGCTCAGGCTGTGGTTGCTTAGCAGAGAGTGAAAAGGGATGCTTGCTGGTGTCTCATAACTGAGGAGATCTCATTTTTGTCCATCCTTTCCCAACTAATATTAATGGATAGTGCAAATTCTCTTTCCAGAGGACTCTGAGCAGCCCTGAGTCATTCTGGTGCCTGACGTGATGGACAGCTGCTCCCTCTCCTGCTTTATATATGTATAAGATAACTGGCCGACAAGCTATATTTTAATTTAACACTAGTGATGAGAAAGCATGCTTCAGTCACAACCGAGAGCCATGGGCTATTTCAGGGAATGCAAGGCAGGCTACAGGGCGCACATTCCTGTATCCTCCAGCTGCTTGCTGCCCATCCCTCCCTTCCTCCAGCATTTGCTCCCTGAGATGGCTATTTCACTTGGGACCGTGGCAAAAGCAAGAGTAGGGCCTTGCCTGATGATCTTAGGAATTGGGTAGGTCGATATGAAGAGATGCGGTTGGATAAGTAAATTGGACCTGAACTATTTGGGGCTTTGAAGGTTAAAACCAGCACCTTGAATCGGGCTCAGAAACAAACTGGCAGCCAGCAAAGGTGCTCTAGCAGGGGGGTGGTATGCTTCCTGTGTCCAGCACCTGTAAGTAGTCTAGCTGCAGTTCTTTGAACTAATTGAAGTTTCCAAGCACTCTTCAGGAGTAGCCCCACATAGAGCGTGTTACAGTAGTCTAAGTGGGATGTAACCAAGGTATGGACCACCATGGCCAGATCTGGCTTCTCAGGGTACGGGCACAACTGGTGCACAAGTGTTAATTGTATAAAGGCCAACACCTGAGCCTCCAGGTTTAGTGATCAGTCCAAAAAGACCCCCAAGCTGCGAATGTGTGATTTCAAGGGAAGTGTTACTCCATCCAACACAGGATGCCACTGTATACCCTGATCTGCCTTATGACCAGCCAGGAGGACTTTGGTCTTGTTTGGATTCAATTTCAGTTTTCAATATCTTGGAGTGTTGTTGTTCATGTTGTTGTTGTCCCTAAGCTGAAGCTGACCTGATAGAAATTAACAACAATGCTGGATGAAAAGGATAAAATGTTCATGCTGTTACTAAGATACCTGTGCTAGTAGTTTAATATTCCAAAGTGATGCAGGGTGGATGACAATTTAGTAATGTACTGTGTTAATTTTGCATACACTGACATGCATTTTTTACTAACAGCCACAACCCAGAACTCCTTACTATAATGCAAGCCCAGTTGCCCCAGTCCGTCCTGCTCCCCGTTGGAATGGACAGTCCTCCCGGCCTCCTTGTGAGTAATTCTTTAAAAATCATTGGAAAAGCCTGTGAGAGAAGGTAATGGATGATGCTTCACCTGATATGAAGTTCTACCTTTCTGTTGGCTAATGCTGGTCTGAAAACTTCTGGAAAATAGCAACAGCGCAGATACTGAGATCTAGAACAACATGTGTTGACTTTACTCTGTAGCCCAACATTAAATAATATCAGCAAAGCATAGTGTTCTGATTAGGCATTTTACATGTGGGATTCGCTTCTGTATAAGTAAGCTTTCTGATTATGACATTTCATTCCTTCAGCATCCTATCACACAGCCACACCGATCCTGAGAACCAACGCACCTCCTAGACGCATCCTGAATAACATCAGCACTATGAGACAAGCATCCACTCAAGTCCCCAGAGTACCACCCAACACACAGAGAATGGGTAATCATATCTCATCATCTGATTGAATGCACTGAATTTGTGTAGGATATATATCAATGTGTTTTCATGTGAATAGTTTCTGCTTTGTTTTTGATCAATGATTTATTCACATTGCTGAATGCTTGGATGTAGACAGCTATTGATGTGGAATATTTGCAAGGCAAATAATGCCTACCCACAAAAAAACCCACAATTTTTGAAGATGAGAGTCATTCAGTTGAGTGGGCTCTTGTTATCTACTGGGTTTCAGGATCTCCCATGGATACCAAAATCTATGGATACTCAAGTCCCATTATATACAAATCATAGTAAAGGGTAAATCTCCCTTCTCTATAATGGCAAAATCGAGGTTTGCTGTTTTATTTTATTGCAATATTTTCAGGTTATGAATTTATTTATTTATTTATTTTATTTACAGTATTTATATTCCACCCTTCTCACCCTGCAGGGGACTCGGGGCAGATTACAATGCACATATTTGCCAAACATTCAGTGCCAATTAGACATACAACATATATAGACAGACACAGAGGCAATTTAACATTCCAGCTTTCCGGTTTCATGAGGGTATGCTCGATTCTGGCCACGGGGAGCTGCCGCTTCACCATCCACTTGTGACACCTAGGCCTTGATGGAGTACTTCCCCAGTCTTATGGACGCTGCTGGAAGGTTTTATGGTGTTGTAAATTAGAATCAGAGTAGGAAGTGACCACAAGGACCATCCAGTTCATCCCCCTGCCACACAGGAAAATGTGTGGTCTATAACTTACTGTAAATTTGGAATCCCTGTTGTGTTTGACTTAACTGTGTCATGAAGACCCTACTTTTCCCAGACTTGGCGTAAATTGAGAGCTTCTACCATCTTTTCCACCCATTTAAAAGAAGTCATCTTAAAAGATTTCTAAAGTGTTGCTATTCTCATTTCAGCTAACATAGGAACCCAGACTGTCAGTGTTCGGGCACCCTCCCCACCAACCTTCTCACGTGGAATCTCACAGTACAAGTATTCTTCAGCAGTGAGGAACATCCAACCCTTGAATGCAATGCCACCCATACCAATGCAGCAGGTGATAATCCTCTTATTGTGCAATTTTTAAAATGTCTTACATATTTCAGAGTACAAAAACCTGTTCTAGACCATGCTCTTAACCCAATCACTCTTGACCATGGAATATTTTTGTGAAGGTGCCATTTATTGGCTAGGGTTGATGGCAAGGGCTTGCCTACCTTTAATGGTTGTGTAGCCAGGATTATTTGTTACCTGGCTATATAACAAGCTGTTTCTATTACAATTCCCTCTTCTTCACAGCCGCATCCAGTTTTCTGGCATAATAGTAGATGTAGCTGAGGAATGATGAAAGTTTTTGCCTTACAGGGGTTTCACACTAGAGCCTCCAGAGTTCTTTCCTACTAAAAGTGTGTAAGCAAAGGTATTTCAAGAGCTAAAAGTTCTGTAACCTGACATAAGGGAAATGTGTGGGCATGTTTATTGTTTGTTTGAAATATATCTTCAGGCAAACCTGAGTGGTTTCAGTCATGGATGCAGGAGTGGAGTGGTCCAGATGTGGACTGGATGCCAAATAGCACCAACTACAAGCTAATTTCTTATTTTATGGATATTACATCCATTGTTTGAGGCTCCTACTAGTTTTTGACTGACTGGTGTGCTCAGCTTTGCACAGACCATGGCTATTTTAAGGTGTCTGGGTAGGAGGGCAGTTGCATTCTTTCGGTAAGTTTTGATACCATAAAGTGCAACCCATGTGCTATGCAACCTTATAAAAATGCAATTTATATTGGAAAAACTCCTGTAGTCCTGGGGTAGGTAAGTCCTGGTCCTCCAGGTGTTGAACTGACCATCCTTATAGTCCCTGAAAGCATAACCAATGAAAAGGGATTATGGGAATTGTAGTACAATGCCTGGAAAGATGTAATATGTTAATAATGCAGGATAGTTTCCAGACTATTAGTACTTCACTTAAAAACAAGTACCAAAATGCTACTATGAGTTGAATATACTAAATGCTTGAGAACCAGAATTTTGTAATTTGGAATACCTATATAAACATATATGTATATAATGAAATATCTTGTAAATGGGACCCAAGTCTAAATAATTATATTTTGTATACACCTTATACACATATGTGGATGGTAATTTCACACAACTAAAAATAATGTTGTGCATGCACTTCAAACCATCAAAAAGCACAGATGTCATTATTGCATGTGAACAAGTTTGGAGTATTTTGGAATTTTGGGTAAAGTGCTCAACCTGTACTGGTATTTTGTTTCTTGGGTCTTAGGTTGTAGAACCAGCTGTTCATATTCATGGCCAAGAGCCACTGACGGCATCAATGTTGGCTGCAGCCCCTCCTCAAGAGCAAAAGCAAATACTTGGTGAGTGGTGATGTTTCTTCCATTTACCAATGTGGCCCTTCAGAAGCACTCTATTCGGCAACTGATATTTTATGTTACTTATTTGTTGGGAGGCAGCATGGTGTAGTGGTTTGACTGTTGGACTATTACTAGACACCGAGAACTGGGAAGCCCTGGTCCTTGAGTGCTCTAACTGGAGGTCAGCTGTGACCAGCAATGCTGTAGAATTTGAAGAGGCACGAATGGGAGCGAAACAGAGAAACGTCCCAAGAGGAAGGCACATCAAGCCAACCCCGACCAGGACCACCTTCTACCTGGAAACCAATGTCCTCATTGCAGGAGAACATATGGGTCAAGAATGGGGCTCCACAGTCACATATGTACCCACCATGAGGACACTGCACTTGGAGGACAATCTTACTCCAATGACGAGGGATTCCCTAAGAGAGAGTCTTTAAAATTCTCACATTCTAAGTTTGGAAAACTGGTCCTTGAGTGCTCTAACTGGAGGTCAGCTGTGACCAGCAATGCTGTAGAATTCGAAGAGGCACAAATGGAGGGCAAAATAGAGAAATGTCCCAAGAGGAAGGCGCATCAAGCCAACCCCGACCAGGACCACCTTCCACCTGGAAACCGATGTCCTCATTGCAGGAGAATATGTGGGTCAAGAATGGGGCTCCACAGTCATGGTTGATGCCAAATGAGAGATTCCCCTCTGGGCACACAGAAAACTGGACAACTTGGAAGGTGCTGAACAGACTGCACTCTGGGACCACAAGATGCAGAGCCAACCTTAAGAAATGGGGCCACAAAGTGGAGTCCACAACATGCGAGTGTGGAGAAGAACAAACCACAGACCACCTATTACAACTCAGTCTGAGCCCTGCCTTATGCACAATGGAGGACCTTCTTATAGCAACACCTGAGGCACTCCGAGTGGCCATCTACTGGTCAAAGGACATTTAATAGAATGCCAAGTTTTTAAATTGTGTTTGTGTTTTTAAATACATTACAACTGTATCCTCAATTTGCTTCTGACGCGATAAATAAATAAATTTAAAAAGGGCAAAAGTACATAAAACAATTTAACTGGTTAAAACATGTTTTAAAGTTTAAAACACATTAAACCAGTGGTTCTCAACCTGGGGGTCGGGACCCCTAGAGGGGTTGCGAGAAGGTGTCAGAGGGGTCGCCAAAGACCATCAGAAAACAGTATTTTCTTTTGGTCGTGGGGGTCCTGTGTGGAAAGTTTGGCCCAATTCTATCATTGGTGGCGTTCAGAATGCCCTTTGATTGCAGGTGAACTATAAATCCCAGTAACTGCAACTTCCAAATGTCAAGGTTTATTTCCTCCAAACTCCATCTGTGTTCATATTTGGGCATATGGGGTATTTGTGCCAAGTTTGGTTCAGATCCATCATTGTTTGAGTCCACAGTGCTCTCTGGATGTAGGTGAACTACAACTCCAAAACTCAAGGTCAATGCCCACCAAACCCTTCCAGTATTTTCTGTTTGTCATGGGAGATCTGTGTGCCAAGTTTGGTTCAATTCTATCATTGGTGGGGTTCAGAATGCTCTTTGATTGTAGGCGAACTATAAATCCCAGCAGCTACAACTTCCAAATGTCAAGGTCTATTTTCCCTGAACTTCACCAGTGTTTACATTTGGGCATACTGAAGATTCATGCCAAGTTTGATCCAGATCCATCATTGTTTGAGTCCACATTGCTCTCTGAATGTAGGTGAACTACAACTCCAAAACTCAAGGTCAATGCCCACCAAAACCTTCCAGTATGTTCTGTTGGCCATGGGAGCTCTGTGTGCCAAGTTCGGTTCAATTCCATTGTGGATGGAGTTCAGAATGCTCTTTGAATGTAGGTGAACTATAAATCCCAGCAACTACAACTCCCAAATCAATCCTCCCATCCCAGCCCCACCAGTATTCAAATTTGGGCATATTGGGGATTTGTGCCGAATGAGAATACATCCTACATATCAGATATTTACATAACGATTCATAACAGGAGCAAAATTACAATTATGAAGTAGCAATGAAAATAATTTAATGGCTGGGGGTCACCACAACATGAGGAACTGGATTAGGGGGTCATGGCATTAGGAACGTTGAGAACCACTGCATTAAACCCAAGTGCGGAGGAATTTTTGGAATAAACCAATTAAGCCTCAACCAAACCTTTAATTTTAAAAAGGCACATGTTTTCATGAAGCCAATATCCATTTCAGCTAGGTCTCTATCCTAACAAAGCAAAGCTGTGTTTGCTGCTTGCTGTGTTTACTGATTTTTTTTTTCCCAGAACAAATGATTTCAAGCTGGGAACTATTAAGGAAATATAATTGAAAGCTAGGTATCAGAATTTTATTTGTACAATAACAAGCAGATCTACTAGCAATTTGTAGCTCAGGCTTTCAAAACCTTAGAGATACTACTATTGAGAAATGCCAAGAGTTTGCTTAAAAAGCATCAAGTCACCACATTCAGCTGTGTACCCTTTCACCTTAGGTCACTAATAATAATAGAGATGGACCTTGAGAAGGTTGTTTTGGAACTCTAGCTCCTAGAATTCCTAGGCAGCATGACTGTTGCTTGGGAATTCTGGGAGTTTAGTTCAAAAAGTGGACTAAGTGCCTTATTTCAGCTCTAATTAAGTGCTTTGTGGAGATAGCTCAAACTCTATTAGTGGGTAATGGAAATGCAATGCCTCAGGTTGACTTGTTAGTGGTTGAATTAAACAGCTGACAACATGAAAGCCTAATCTGAATCTTCAGTTATCCCAAAATCCTGATAAATGATACAGGTTATTGACTTTAAATATTTGAACTCTGTTGGAAGAGCTGTCCAATATGACCTCATAACTGCGGGGGATATATTCCTGAACTTATTGGGGAAACAGGGAACCATGGATAATATCGAGCCCTATTGCAGTGAATAACTTCCACTAGAAATTATCATTGATTCCTGCCTTGGAGGAGCTAGAAAATTCCTAGATATTTATTCTGTCTAGGTATTTGTTAGATCCTCCAACAGCATGGTAATATCTGGTGCAAACATGCTGTAGTTTCCTCTGAATGACCTAGAAAATTTCTAGTGAGGATGTGGGTAGGTAACAATGTGGGCACTGTAAAATAGTTTATGCATTTATACCTGTGTGAACAAAGCTGAAATGAAATAAATTGATATACCCCTTCAATGCTGAAATTAACTATCTGAAATAAGGTGCACCAAGACCAATCTGCACTCATTATTATCTTGTAAATAGTTAGCTGAGCAGTGTAGTCATATTTTGTCAGATGCATGCCCAAATAATAATCCTAGTGAAACGTTAGTATTTTGCTGTGTATATATACTCATTAAGTTTTAATTTTTATATGTGGGCATATATCATTCAGTTCTGACAAACCACCCTTTGTGTCCTTCATTCAGTCTCAATCATTTAGATGAAAACATCTCTAAAACTTTTAACTCAGTTTCATTTCTGTCTAATTTATCTAGCAAGAAACACATTGCTGTCCTTCCAAGCTGTGATGATGTTCGTCCGTTCTGTCTTCTCACAAGTCTAGCATTCACAGTCTATGAAAGCATCCTCTTCTCTGGTTTTTATTTGCACAAGGAAATTATTTTTAGTACCTGAAGATGCCTTTGTAAATGTTTAGTTACTAAAAAACAAGCCATTGAAACCCATCCATCCAGTGTCTTTGAGAGGAAGAAAAGTAAAGGCATACCTTAGTTAATGGAGCAAATGTGTCTCTGCGTGTTACTTCTTTTACAAAAACATTGGTGCCAGAGGGAGAAATGACATGGAAAGAACAACTGTAGGTTGTTATGCCACAAAAAAACACACACCCCCCCCCATACATAAATAACTAAATCAATGTATTTCCCCAAACTTTTACTCAAAACGAATGATATGCAGATATGAAATAAAACAAGACATTAATGATTATATATACTTTGAATATTTTGGAGCTTGGTAAAGATGTCTTCCAAAATACATGCAGTGGTGCCATTACCAGCCTTCTTTTCTCTTACAGTTTTTCTCTGCTCCTAAACAGATAGAGCTATGATTTTTAAAAACATGTTTTGATACCTGATGAGACAGGTTTATTTCCTCCACTTTTATCTCTGTTTTACTGTTCATTAATGTTCAGTAAGAGATTCTGGAGTCAGTAGCAATTTATGGTACTTTGGCTTTTGGAAGTTGACACATCTAGTTATGATCCATTCTTTCCTAGCTCATGTTTTATGCATTTTCTTTTGCTGTAAATATGTTGCTGTACCCTGATTTGGCACTGGGTTTGGGTTTCCCTAGCTCTCCTTCACTATCTACCTAATACTAATGTTGCTTAAATACTTGTAGCTAGTCAGAGAGGCTTTTTTTTTTTAAAGCAGTGGTTCCCAGTCTTTTTTTAGCCAGGGACTACTTTAACCAGGGATCACTCTCCAACATTAGTTCCAAAAGGGTTACAAATCAGTTTTTGGTCAACTTTAGATTTGGTTTGGTTATTTGGGGTGCTGATTTAGAAAATTGCATTGGATGGACCACATCAGCTCTAGTTTCTGATACAGAATATATGCCATACAGTAGTTGCCATCTGTCTCCCACAGAAAACCATATTTAATAATTTAGAACTGATGTGTTAGTAGTAATCTTTCATGGGTAGTCAGCCCCTCCCCTCCCAACACCCCCGTTGCTTTGACACTATAACAGAGTTTCGTAAGACCAGTCACTCTCGTTGCCATGTGATTTTGAGGCAACAGTGTAGTAATGGTGAGGCTGCAGACCATATTTTCATTCTTTTGGACCACTGGTGACCCACAGTCCACAGGTTGGGAGCTACTGTTTTAAAGTAATGATTCAGTTGAAGACAAATAAATTCAGCTTTTGAAAATGACCAATAGTTATTTTCCTCCAACATCTTGTTACTCCAGAGTGGCCAACCAAATACCTATGAGGGAACACAAAAGCAGGACATGATGGAAGAAACCTTTCCTGGTTAATACATCCCAGGCATTAGAATAAAGCACTACACTGTTTTGAGGTTTCTGAACATAGAGGAAACATTTGTTGTTTATTCGTTCAGTCGCTTCCAACTCTTCGTGACCTCATGGACCAGCCCACGCCAGAGCTCCTTGTTGGCTGTCATCACCCTCAGCTCCTTCAGGGTCAAGCCAGTCACTTCGCGGATACCATCCATCCATCTTGCCCTTGGTCAGCCCTTTTTCCTTCCATTTCCCCCCCAACATCATTGTATTCTCTAAGCTTTCCTGTCTTCTCATAGAAGAGGAAACATAGAAATAACAAATAGTTTTCATCCAAGCTTTCCCTTCCATCTTGTATTTCCATTTTCAGCTTACAGTATGCTGCCCTGTCATTTCTACTGCATGAAGTGGGCTCTGGTTTCACTCGGCAGTTTTGGCTGCCTTCCACTGAGCTTCAGGCATGCTGCAGCTCTGCAGTGCACTGAATTTTTCCCCTGGTTGTTCTCTCTCTGCCTTGGTGGCTTCTAGGTGAGATGGACCAGTCACCACATGGGAAAAACAACCTAGGATTCAAGCTCTTCAAATGGGAGGAGAAAATGTCTGCCATTAGTATGAATAAAAAATAATGAAGTACAGTTCAACCCCTGTATCTGCGGATAGTACATTCATAGACTTAGAGTGTGTACAAGAAATAATGGATGATAGTGAGTGAACTCTATTGAGATAAAAAAATTCTGGCCAAGTATATCATACAGTCATGCAGGAGCACCTAGAAAAAGGCTAGAGACCTTATCTTTGCGAGTCATGGATAAATGAAACCATGGATATAAGTCCTGTGGGTAGGGGAGTCATGCTATGTTGTCTTGGAGATGATTTTGGGAAATACATGGCCCTCAAGGTTTTGTTCAGTGACAGCTATAGTTATTCCTTGTGTGCCGCTATTCTGTCTAGAGTTGGTGGGAGTTGTGGTTCAAGAACATTGGAGAGCCTGCATATTTCCCATCCATGGAATTTTCCAGTTCAGTTGACTTGTCAACAAGAAAGTTAGCATCTCACAGTGGCTAAGGGGTTGAGATATGAATCAGGTGTTAGATTGTATCAAGCCATTCTGTTAGCTTCTATCACCTGAAGCATGATATGATACACGTAAAGTATTTTGAACAAATATACATATTTTGGGTTTTTCCTATTTTTAAAATCATTTAGGATACTGCATCGCAGAAAAAAATCAAGTTGTTCATTGCTACATGATGAAAATTAATATGAGTGATTTTCCTTTTCTGAACAGGTTTTTTTTTTTACAGCAATTTGCTGCCACAGTTGAAAACGCATCCTCCAGATTTGGAAACGCATGATTAGATCAGGGGTTCTTAACCTGTGGGTCCCCTGGTAAACTGGCTGGGATTTCTGGGAGCTATAGGCCAAAACACCTGGGGACCCATAAGTTGTGAACCACTGGATTAGATTGTGATGGACAAACAAGAGTGGAGGCCAATAGCACTGTGTCCCTGCTTGTGATTTTTCTTGAGCATCTGGCTGGCCACTCTAGTGACAGAATTCCCACTTGGTTTGATCCATCAAGATCCCTTGTTCTACAAGTGGGTAGATCTTCTCAGTCTTATGATCTCTAGATACCATGCATAAGAATGAGCTGAGAAAGTACTTTTTATACCTTCAGATTCATAGTAATATTGCAGCATAAAGAACTCCTTTCTCACCTTTCCTCTTAGAAGAAATGAACAGATATTCTCATTTAAACCAGCAATGGATAACTAATTCATATTGTCTTCCCAAGTAACAAAGGTATGACTTAAGCTACATATGTAGCTTAAAGTTATAGTCATATTGTAGCTTAGTTATACTTTATGTACAGTAACAAACATTCAGTTACTTTTTCAGTTATGAAGTATGGCTATTTATTTATTTACTCCATTTGTATCCCACCTTTCTGTACCTTGAAGAGGACTCAAGGCAGTGTTACATATGGCAACTATTCAATGCCTTTGGACAACATACAGAATACACTTAAGTTAAAATTAAATACACACTAAAACATATAAAACATTTCATTCACTATTAAAATCATGCCATCCTCAATCATAATCTGGGGCCATTCCAAAGATTAATTGCACTTATTTTGAGGCTATTATTGCACTATAGATTAACCTCCAAAGGCTATGTCAAACTGGAGGAAAAAATTAGTTGGTTCAACACTTGGTTTGCATTGTGCCTCATGTTGCTTGATGACTGTGGGTGCTGAGATGATTGCTATACTGTATTATACTGTATTATACGTTTGTATAAGTTGACCTTATGTACACGTAAAGTGCAGGTTTGGGGACCAAAATTGAGAGGAAGTTAGACTTGCCCAAATTCACCCAGTGGTTTTCCTTGGCTGAACAGAGATCTGAAATATTGGTTTCCTGGAGTCCTAGCCTAACACTACCCAATACTAACTCTCTCTTAACAGGCTAGTAAAAGTTTCCAAAACATTTTTTGGTGAGTTAATGTATTAATAAGGGCCCACTATTAGCCAAAGGGCCTATTGGGCAAGAGCAGTGAACATTCCAGTAACTTTTGCTTAAAATTTCCCACCATACTCTGCTGTGACCCTATGGGGGATGCCTGGCTCGTGTGAAAAAGATCTTGGAGTCCTCGTTGACAAGTTAAACATGAGCTAACAGTGTGATGTGGCGGCAAAAAAGCCAATGGGATTTTGACCTGCATCAATAGGAGCATAGTGTCTAAATCTAGGGAAGTAATGCTACCCCTTTATTCCGCCTTGGTTAGACCACACCTGGAATATTGTGTCAAATTCTGGGCACCACAATTCAAGAGAGATATTGACAAGCTGGAATGTGTCCAGAGGAGGGCGACTAAAATGATCAAGGGTCTGGAGAACAAGCCCTATGTGGAGCGGCTTAAGGAGCTGGGCATGTTTAGCCTGAAGAAGAGAAGGCTGAGAGGAGATATGATAGCCATGTATAAATATGTGAGAGGAAGCCACAGGGAGGAGGGAGCAAGCTTGTTTTCTGCTTCCCTGGAGACTAGGACAGGGAACAATGGCTTCAAACTACAAGAAAGGAGATTCCATCTGAACATGAGGAAGAACTTCCTGACTGTGAGAGCCGTTCAGCAGTGGAACTCTCTGCCCCGGAGTGTGGTGGAGGCTCCTTCTTTGGAAGCTTTTAAACAGAGGCTCGATGGCCATCTGTCAGGGGTGCTTTGAATGCAATATTCCTGCTTCTTGGCAGGGGGTTGGACTGGATGGCCCATGAGGTCTCTTCCAACTCTATGATTCTATGAAGTGCTTCAGGGCATCATGGGAAATAAAATGACTTCATATGTTTAGTTGTTGGACATAAGCCAGAGGCTGGAGTCATTGCAATCCCATTGTGTTGTGTTGGGTATTGAGGATGGTTCTGAAATAACAGATAGTCTCTTTATTTTGAGGGGAATGAATTTCATTTTAAAATGTGCTGTTTCTTAATTTTCATATAGCATCTATGTGTATTTTTGCTGGGTGTAGGTGAACGTCTCTACCCGCTAATTCATGCAATGCACCCATTCTTGGCTGGAAAGATTACGGGCATGTTGTTGGAGATTGATAACTCTGAGCTGTTGCTTATGCTGGAGTCACCGGAATCTCTCCATTCTAAGGTACAGGAATGCTGTGCTTAAAATCACATAACTCTTTCATAACAAAACCTACATTTTATATCTTAAATGTGTTGATTTTGCATTTCTTTAGTCTGTCTGGTTAATTCATGTTTGATTACGACAGTCTCCATAGTTGTCTTTTCCATATTGTCATTTTCCAACTAAATCTATTTTCCATTTGCATTGTATGTGTCTTTAACATTTTGGGGTGATTGTACAAATGTTTAACAATAGCTTATAGAATTATGATTCTATTTTATGCTATGTTGTATACAAAATCACCCAAACATTATCTTGATGAGACTGATATTTTGGGGGTTCTGATAGTTGTAATCTAAAAATGAACTTTTCAAAACTATTTTTGAAGTGATAATATATTATGTTAGTTTGAGGATACAATGGAGGAGATTGTATGATGCAATCTAGAGATATTCAATGTGTCAAGCAGGATTTGCTTCTAGTTCTAGAAGGTAATAGGAATAGAAATAATCTGACACACAAAGTTAAGTTGCAGACAGTACTGTGGATTAACACTATGTAAATTTATCCTAAGGTCAAATGCAGTATAAGCAGGCCAAACCTGTTTCCTAACTCATTTCTATTCATACCAGAGAAAGAGGAACTTTTAAAAAAAATAGATAACATGGGTGGCATTGATGCCTGAAGCAAAAAACAATCCCATGTGGCACCTTCTCCTATTCCACACAGTAAGCCAACAGGAGTCGCATGTTAATCTTCCTTCTTTACTGGCAACGTGACAGCATTGTTCATGATACCTGACCAGCCCTTGGTTCGTACTTGGATGGGAGTTCACCAATGAATGCCAGGTGCTCTAGGCCGTATTTCAGAGGAAGGAACTGGCGAAACCAACTCTGAATATTCCTTGCCTAAGAAACTTTATGACATTCATGGGGTTGCCATAAGTTGACAGGCAACTTTTAGGCACATACAAATTGGCCAAATGATTTGTTCAAACTTCCTTTTCCTCCTTTGCAACATTCCCCTCAGTTTTGGTGTATGTAGACTGACAAATATCATTTTCTCTTGCATTTTCCTGTGTTGTGTGGAAGAAGTCTGTGCATCTCAAAACACTATATATTTTATTTGTGAAAACCAGCTGGTTTTAATGAAAGTGGGTTGGGTTCAGTGGTTCTGGTTGGAATTGTTGCCAAACCCTATCTGCAAAAAACTTTTCAGTAAAGCCTTTAAGAAGAAAGCTTCTGAAGTCTGGCTCAAGACCAAGTAAAGGTGAAGTAACAGGTAAATAGATACCAGATTGGAAATATAAAGGACATAATTCTGCTCGTAGCTCTTGATCCATTAGAAAGGTTCTAAAAGCCCTCCACACTTGAAAATGGAGAAAGCAATTGCTACTGAATATAGCACACATAGTAAAATTAGAGTGCAGTTCCTTTAAAGCTTAGCTGTAAATTTTTGCTGGATTACTTGGATGTTATAGCACCAAACGGCTAAATGAAAGATGTAATGCAGCTATACTTACTAAAAGGTCTTTTGCTATCTCTCTTGCATTTCAATCTGCAGAGTCTATTTCTTTACGACTATACAAAATGACCACCTTGTTTTGGGCTTTGACTTTTTTAGATTGAAGAAGCAGTTGCTGTACTACAAGTTCATCAGATGTCTGAATCATCACACAATAGTGCATCAACAGCATTCCTCCAGTGATGAAGGTGGAAGAACTAGGTAGGCAGAAAGTGGTGGTGGTTTTCACGAACAGTGAAAGTGCTCAGCTTGGAGAGATACTCCTTGTTTTGATACCTAAAAGCCTGAAGCAGAGTTGTTCAGTACAGGAACTGGAAATATCATACCCTCCCCCATCTGAGCAGTTACTAGTATCTTTAGGTAGGATGCCTACCATAGTGGATTCATGGGGTAGAGAAGAGATCTGTCTGTTCCCTACTTGGTTGCAGGAGAGGGAATAATTGTTATTCCATCTTTGTACTGTTTCCCCTGATTGCATGTAGTCAGAGAAATATGCCACCTAGCAACTGAAAATGGTACTACAGACTTTAAGCACACATTGAAATGGATACATTTTAAAAACCAAATAATTTGTAGGTACACATTATTCAGGTCCTTTTAACAAGATTAGCAAGTTTGAAGTGTCTGTTTATGCAGCAATGACTGACAGACAAGTTTTAATCTGACAGTTCAAGCTCGATTTGCTCTAAGAGTAATTCATGTGTCTTTTTTAGCAAGACACTGTATATGTCAAACATTTCCAGTATCAGATTTCATACTGGTTGATTTATTTGCTATCAGCTTTCTTCATTGTCCAGTTTTGGAAACACAATGGAGATATAGGATTATTGAATTCTATTATTGAATTCTGGATCCATGCCAATCAACTTAATTGTGTGGAGCTAAATTCTGAATTTATGGAAGGAGGAAAAAATCCTCATATTACTGCAATTTGATATCTTTTTTTCTTGTGTAATGGGTGTTGTGATCTTTTTGGATGTACAGACTTGTTGCATATGGTTTGACTGCCATGCATACTAATTCTCTGGTATGGATTTGTGCCTTGTGAAATAGCTTTTTAGAACTATAATTCCTAGAATTTTCTTACCAGCATGAATGGGGCTTCTTGCACTTGTTTGCTAAACAAATAACTTTTCCAAGCTCTGCATCAAGGTAAAATGTGTCCCCCTTTTGTTTCCTGATCTGACAGGTTAGACTTCACTACAGCTACTATTGATACTTATCTGTACATTTAATTTAGACATTCCATTCGTTTTTATATTAAAAGCTAATATTCTCTCTGTTTCCTAGAAACAGAATTCCACATCACGAGCAGACAGTAACCAGCAATAATTAAAGTTACCCATGTGCGCATATCAAAGTGTTTTGAGGGTTGGAAGAGCCATGGCACTTCTCAATGTAACATTAAATTATGTTTTGCAGGAAAAGGAAGGTGGACATCCCTGCTGAAGCAAGCAGCACCACGGATGAAATGCTTCCTCTGTTTGCTGTAAAAACTTTCTGCATAGTGTATATACACAGGTTCACACGGAAACGTAGCTCTATATGATTACACTTTAGTTGTATGCTTCAGATCCATTTCAAACTTGTTTTCATTTCACTCTACTTTGATTTAAATTATGTATTTATTCACAAGTGCCTATCTGGCAACCCTAATAGGTGGGGATCATAGTTTGGTAATTTAGTAGGATAATGAATTGGAACAAAATGTTTCTTTTTGTTCTGTTGATTGTAAAGTTAAGTTGCAATGCTGGTCATTTTTAGTAGCTTTAATCTTAAACCACTATCAAGGCATGTATGAATATTTTATTTGTTCTTGCTGTTGACATGATAAAGAGCTTCACTTCACTTTACCAAATTGTTCCTTCAATGTTCCTTGGTTAACATAAACAAATGCTCTTTTTTGCTTCAGGAGTAGATGGAAAACTCTTCAGACATGAGAAGTTGTTGAGCCCAAAGTGATCTTAGCTTTATCAGGAATGGACAGCAAACTGGCACACCTTCTTGACACATAAAAGATTTCATAAGTAAACCTTACAGAGATTTTTGTACTGCTTAAAAGCAGATTCTGTTCCCAGTGACAGAAACACGGGCACATTTCTATTCCTTTAATTCATGCTTGAGCCTGTAGAAATCAGGTTGCTTTCAGGAAAGCCTGGTAATAAAATACATTGCCCGAGATGCACCACTTCCTAGGATGTGAAATGATGGTTAAAACATTTAATTTTCCTACATAGCTAAATGACAGCTTGGAAGTAAAACAGCTAATTAAAGCAAGAATTAAAGATAGCTGTGTTAGTCCGGATCAGTACGAATCTTGTAGCACCTTTAAGACTTAACTGTGAAAGAAGTTTGCTGAATAAGCTTTCGTAGATTTAAGTTTACTTTATTAGATCTATCTGAGGAGGTAGACTACCAACTTCTTTCTTTCAATCTCAAAGGTATTTCAGGGTCCTTAATTAAAGTATGTTGAAGGCTTTGAAAGACCAAGTAGCCATTATTTTAATTCTGAATATACGTCCAATCTTTTAACAATATTATGACATTTTGTTAGTTGTGCTAATTTAACTAACCATCTTGGTCCTTTAATGGCGTTTCCAGTCTCCCTAATCCTGATTAATAAGGGATCATATTAGTGTGCTATGTATTAATCCAGGTGTGAGTCACTTTGTGAACCTTCAGTTGTTGCTGGAGCAGCTCCTAGCATTACTCCCCACAGGTTAGCTGGATCTGCTGGAAATCAACGTCCAACATCTGAAAGGCAATAAGGTCCTTGTTTTTGTTTTAAGACTTTACAATATAAAAAGAAATGGAGTCATTTTTCCTATAGACTATAAAAGAATGACCAGTGTTGGGGTAATAGTATGTTGGTAACTAGTGTAAACTAAATCCTCATGGACACACAGTGTTTGCTCATCAAACATAGTCACACATATTTTAAGAAACAGGATTGATACTATAACTCGGCCTTTAAAAATCCCTCTGCCCAACCAAATTCTGAGACCTGTTTTTCATGTTTGATGCTAGTTTTGCAAATGATGGGCAAGTGGCTAACCTAAATCCTCGGGGATATAGATATTAATCTTGACAGTTGTTTCTTTTGATGAATATCTGCCTCAGATCATCTTAGCAATAAAGTCTGCTGGAGCTAGCTACTGTAATATGAAATGGAACAAATCAGAATATAAAACCATGTAATCTATGTGGAATAGAGCTTTAGTTATCTGCAATAACTAGCTACAAAAAACTCTTTATGAATGAAAATTCCCCAAGGAGTAGGCAAGCTTGTAGAAAGGAAAAACCTAGGCCAACAGTTTCCTTCAAATAACATGTTTTTTTTTCAAATGCCAAGAGCTCATATAATTTCATATCTAGGCTCGACACAATACACTTTATCATATGCACAGCCCTACATGTAGGCAAAGTTCACTAAGCATCTTATAATTCTCTTTTGGGCTAATTTGGAATTCACTCAAATGTAAGGCAGTCTAAGCTAGTGGTTCCACGTTATGGCAGAACGTAACTACTTTGCTTGGGAGAAGACCTGATCTCAGCAGAGTTGGGCAGCTGCCAAGATTTACCTGTCTTATAAGTCATGGTTGTCTTATTCCCTATAAGATATTGCTTATGTAGTGTTGTCCTGGAGCACCATCAGAAATATAGTAAATGGGAGTGCACCTGCCATTAGAACACAGAATTTTAAAGTAAATTTTATTGAATGCTTTTCTGGTTCTACAGATAAAGTATAGGTGATGGGGAGGGGAAGGAATGGGGACTTATCTACATGGGGGGGGGGGGAGAGGGAAATACACACACAAGGAAAGTGAGATTGTGGGAGGGAGAGGAAACATCTTGACTTCCCATTCTAATTCTCCACATGCTCCAAGAAATAAATTGGTGAAGTAGGGGTAGAACTCTCAGTTCCTTTCTATACCTTTGGCTTCTCTCCTACTCATAGTCAAATTTACTCTGTTTTCTTCTTCTAAGGTTTTTCTTCCTTAGTTTTTATTGTGATCACCTTCCCTTATAGTCCCCTCTTAATGTTCAATCAGATATTCGTCGAATAGTTTCCAATTTTCTTTATTGGTCTTCCTTTTGATTCTTTAAGATAGAAGGTCAAGCTTGTCCATGTCTCTTATTTCTCTGGCCTTACCTAGCCATTCTTCTTTAGATGGAGCCTGTTTTAGATTTCTAATGCCATAGGTATACTTTGGTAGCATCCCTCCTTTCTGCTTTAGTTTTAATCAAAGGGCCACCATGGGAGAACTCACCATGTTTCTAAGTTCACACTCCAAGAAACCTTCCTCACGCATGATTCAGCTTAGTCAGAAGGTGTGCAATCTTTTTGTCTCTTGCTTTAAAGTGCTTTTTAATGTCCACAGGCAAAATGCAGGGGGACCAATTTACTGCCTGTTGAAACCTGGACCAGTGGTATTGAATGGACAAATCCAACCCCTCACTTTTACAAAATACTTTTACCTTATAGGAATAAAGGCAAACTTCATTTTATAAGTTCTCTAAGTTCAAATTAACACCCAGAGAATAGACAGATTTATCATTTTAAATACAACCTTTATTTCTTGTCCTGAGGCTGAAAGAGAGAAAACTTAAATAAAAGGTCAGCAGACAGCCATTCTTTTTCCTTTGAATCTTCTCAGAGGGAGGGGAGACAGGCACCAGTTCTGTACCCAGTGTAACATTAATGGTAGTAAATCAAGGTTGCAGGACTCTGTTGAGAGGCGACATGCAAAGCTCTCTCCTGTCTAGCCTTAAAGCCAGAAGCTTAAAAGGAAGCAAGCTCCCTGGGAAGGGTGGGGTGTCCCTCCACCCAAGGTAGGTGACTCAGCTAGAAACTTTGCTCCAAGAAGGTAGAGAGCAAAATAATACAAGCAAGCTACACCTTTTGCTGTTGCTGTGGAACATTTGACGTTATTCTTAAACAGTGAGTTACTCAGTCTTTGGAGATACCAGCTAGCACATGGTTGTTATCATAATTCATCATTCCTCTGTAATAGAGTACATGCAGAAGATCAGCAGGGTAGTAAGAATACTAGGCCATGATTCTTGTCTTCCATCTAATAGCAGAGATTGGGAACATACTGCCTTCCAGTTATGGTTTACCACTCTGTTGGCTGAGACTGGTGGAGGCTGTAGTACTTCCAACTGTTAGGAAACACTTATTCCTGTGCTCCTGAATGTGTTTTTTAAATTTAGTCAAATGGGATCAGTCGTTATAGTTAGAAGTACTAGAGCTCAATATAAATAATCACTTGCTGTTAATGAGATGTAGGCCTAAGAACCGTACTGTTGTAGGCAGATATTTAAGATTATTTCCCTGCCTCTGCTACTCTGAATAAATCTCTACTCATTTGGCTCCTCCACAGTGTGAACTTCCAGTAACAACTACTTTGACATGTGTACAATGGGGGTAAGTGCTGTATAGTAGCAAGCATATACAAACATGAAACAGATATTTAAACTAAAGGTGAGTAACTTATTCTAATGAACAAGAACTGAACACACATATAATAAGGATAACAATGTACTAAGCTCTTTGGTAAAGGAAAAAAGCAGCTGTAGATTCCCAAGTCATTTTCTCAAGACCAAGTGCTCTCCGTTGGGAGTATAGTGCACAAAATATAAGGCAAGTATAGATTATTTTACACTCCCACCTTCCACCTGTCACTATTACCCCAAGCTTTAAGTTTGGACTGTGCTGATATCAAAAGTCTATGTATCCAGTACCAAACTCTTAAAGCACTTCTTTCTGTGCAAACATATATCTAAAATAGCATGGTTGATCAGGGCTTCTCTAACTGCTGGTAATGTTTTCCAACAATTAGAAACATTTTTTCCTAGGACAGAGTGTTGCAGGAGCCATTTTGCTAGAAAGCTATAAATCTCAAGAAGTCACACTGAACTTTCAAAAGGCTTTAGAAGAAAAGATGAATATCTTGTATAAAGCAAGGGATAAGGCAGATATCACCAGATCTGGAAGGTGGAGACTGCAGCTGTACTCAGTCTGGTCCATGTGTTTTGTTTTTTTAAGAACCAGAAAAACATGTAATCTTCCAAACACAGTTTTTAAGCCACTCTTATTTTAAGAGTTTGTTTAGATCTTGCAGTAGTTTCTTAGCAGCACCATTTTCTGGTTCAATTTTCAAGAGGCTGTTGATATCTGCTTTGCTGGATTTGTAGTCCTGGAAATAAAGAAAACATGTATTAATTAAGTAGAGTGCTAGTTGCTTAGAAACGAAGTCCATTAACATTGGAAGAATCAAAAGATGACACCCCTATACATAAAGCGGTTACTTTTGGTCGAAGACATTTTAGTGCCTTTGTTTCCTGTGCCACTACAGAAGCTCTGTCCTGACCTGTGTCTTCAGGGGGAGTGCAACCCCGTAAAGCACAGGTTGCCACCTTATACCCTGATCTGACATGCGATCGACTTGGAGAACCTCTGTCTTGTCAGCATTAACCTTCAACCTGTTTGCCCTCATCCAGACCATCACAGCAGCCAGGCACTGGCCCATTATCCAAGGGGCTTACTTGGATTTTGGTGGAAAAGAGTAATAGAATTGGGTGTCATCTCTGTAGAGATGGCACTGAACTCCAAAACTCCGGATGACCTCACCCAGCAGTTTTATGTAGCTGTTAAAGAGCATGAGGGACAGAATGGAACCTTGCGGGACCCCACAGGTCAATGGCCAGGGGTCCGAGCAGGTGTCTCCCAGCTTCACCAACTAAGAATGACCATCCAGGAAGGACCGGAGTCACAGCAAAGCCATGCCCCCAAGTCCCATCCCGGTGAGCCGGCCCAGAAGGATACCATGATTGATGGTATCGAAAGCCGCTGAGATGTCCAAGAGAACCAAGCAGAGTCACACTTCTCCTGTCCAGTTCCCTACGGAAGTCATCCACAAAGGTGACAAAGCCGTCTCAGTACCGTGCCCATGTCTGAAACCAGACTGCGACTGGTCCAGAAAATTAGTGTCATCTAGGAATCCCTGGAGCTGAGAGGCAACCACCCGCTCTTATCCGTTCTTATGGAAGTAATTGCATTTCAAATGTGTTCCATCAAATGATCCATGTTTCTGATCTTTTCCTTCTCCACCATGGTTTTTAAGTGGCCCCACAAGTATTTGCTAAATATATAAATATAAAAATATACTACATAATATAATATAAGTTATTATATATGAGTTTGCTAATTTTTCCAATGTATGCAGACTTTTGGACACCCTGCATATGAAAACTTTTAAGAATGTAGCATAGGTATGCTGACTTATAGAGCAACTATAAGGGACACTGTCGCGTGAACAACAGAAAAAATATATTCTTGGGATATTTCCTTATGGACCACAAGAAGAGCAGCTGTTTTAAAGTTGCGTTTACATCATATTGTAATAACAAGCAAATATTTTGACCTTAAATTTAAAAGAGGTCAAAGCCTTGTAAGGGACTGGAGATTAGGAGTGTGCAATTCAGCAAAAAAACCCATGCTGTTTTGGTGTCCAGTTTTTGGTTGCCCCCTATTCCATTTCTGGGAACTTCCCGAATTCAGGAAGGGTTTCTGTTTTCACACCAGAAAGATTTGTCTATTGATGTCAATGGTTAAACTTTAGAGGCCCATTTCTCTGTCATTTTTAGGCCTATCAGTATGGACTGTACCTCACTTATGGGCCACATCTTCTATTGCAAGCCTGTCAAGTTTCAGAACGTTTCACCAATCCACTAATTTTTTTGAATTTTTAAAAAAGAAATTTTTTTAAAAAGAATTTTTAAAAAAGAAAAAATTTTACCAAGACATTTTTATACTTTTTAAAAAACCCACAAAAAGAATAAAGTTATTATTATTATTGAGTAACTTTTCTCATAAACCTAATTTTAGGATTGGAACCCAATGCCTGAGCTGTCAAGGTGACAGCTGCCAGTAGAGTGATTTGGCATATTTTGGATAGACTTGCCAGCTGCCTCTATCTATTAAAATGACTTAAGTTATTTCCAAAGATCTGTGAAATTCCAGTTGGATAACGGTAATGTGTCATAAGTGGGGCTGTCTTTGGAAATGGCTTGGAAGCCTTTGGCTAGGGCACTGAGATTATTAGTGGGAATTGGTAGATAATATGATCACATAATTCCAGTATTTTGCTTTCTGTAATGATGTTCATCCCAGGTCTAATCCCATTTCAAAATGTTACTATTTAAAGCCATGATAGGTGTAGGAACATTTGGTATTTAAAATATATTTTGATGGTATTTTGATTATATATAGTCATTCATGATTTTTGCTAAACTATTTCTTTTTCAAATTTCTGGAAAAAGATGGTTGGACTAGAGATACAAAATACATTATTCAGAACTGGCAAGGCAGCATTTGGGGGGCAAAACAATACCTGGAAGCAGAAATGTGCAGAAGAGAAATGTATTCTCCCCTTCCCTCTCCCTTCGGTCATTGTACTACTGCTTTTAAGGAAAAGTCTGGTCAAAATGAAAAATGAAAGTGATGCTTTGGCAGTAACTTTCAAAATGAGGAAAACATCAGAGGATTCTTTGAATAGACATACATGATTTTGTATCTGCAAAATATGTGGCTTTCCCCATAGGAATACAAGTATAAAGCACTGCTAGTATGGTGCTTTGAATAATGAAAACAACGTAAAAAGTGACCAGATAAAGCTTAAAGAATGGGAGGCTTTCTAAACTATATTTCTCAGGCACATAAAATTCTAGGAAGGTCCTTACCTTAAGTTCTTTGTATGCTTGAGCTCGTCTATAAAATGCTTTGATGTTCTTTGGATCTATTTTAAGAGCTTCTGAACAGTCCTGAATCGCTTCCTTGTACTGCTTTAGATTCAGGTAGCAAAGAGCCCTGGAATGTAGACAGTGAGTGTTAAATGTATTTGAAAACAACAGTTCTGAGCTGAAATTATATGATTTGAATATGAGAAAGAATGGTACTTAAATATCGTAAGAATTTGTAAATAAATCTTTATTGCTAAAGGACATTAAATTCTTATGAATCAGTCAACATGTTTAGATAAAAGATGTGATTTGCAGGAAGCTACTGAAGAATTGAACAATACATTACAGCTGATATACACTGTGATTAGATAATGTATCTAGACCACTCCAAAAAGAAAAAACTCAAACCTGCATATCTTAACAGCTTTCATTACAATGGAAATCAAGCAAATATATTGACTAAAAGAACTCGAGTCCGTGAATTTGCACTGTACTAGTCTACCCAAGCGAATCATACATATAATGTCCAGGAATATCTAGCACGTTCCCATCTAGTGCCTTCCATGGATAATGCTTACAGCTTATTTCTTAGACACAACGGAAAGAAGAACAGGAATGGCTCATTGGTATATTCAACAAAAAGCCTTACTGAAGCAGCATATCTTCTAATGCTGGACGCTGAAGCCCAGCAGTAATAGTTATGCAGTTTGATTTTATCCATACTTTGTACGCTCAGAGCTTATTTTCCTTTTTTGTGAAATTCACTTGAAAGCATCGTCTGCAGTAAACACTGCACAAAAATTCATGTAAATGTCTAAAATAATCACTAAGTGATGTTCAGAAAACGTTTCACCTGCATCTATGGCAAGCATCCTCAGAGGTTGCGAGATCTGTTGGAACTAGGAAAATTGGGTTTATATATCTGTAGAATGTCCAGGGTGGGACAAAGAACTCTTGTCTGTTGGAGCTAGGTGTGAATGTTTCAACTGGCCACCTTGATTAGCATTTGATGGCCTGGCAGCTTTTTGGTGTGGCTTGTTAGTGCCTGGGGGAATCTTTTATTGAGAGGTGTTTGGCTGTCCCTGATTGTTTCCTCTCTGGAGTTCCCCTGTGTTTGGATGGTGTTTTGCTGTTATAATTTTAGAGGTTTTTTAAAATACTGGTAGCCAGATTGTGTTCATTTTCATAGTTTCCTCCTTTCTGTTGAAATTGTCCACATTTATGGATTTCAATGGCTTCTCTGTGTAGCCTGACATAGTGGTTGTGAGAGTGGTCCACCACAAAATGCAGCATTGCCCAAACACGAATCAAGGAACATGAAAGGCACTGCAGACTACTTCAACCAGAGAAGTCAGCCATAGCAGAGCACCTGATAAACCAACCTGGACACAGAATATTATCTGAGAACACAGAAATGCTGGATCACTACTTATAGGGTTGGATATCCCACCCACCCCCAACCCCCGGTGCCATCCTCACGACCTCTCTTTAGACTGTGTCGGATGATCTTGTGGGTTGAGTTAGGTTTTAATAACTTCTTGTATTAGTTTTTAGATTAATTTTAAAATTTGTTGAAGTTTGAAGTGTATAACACCTTGGGTTTGATGTGAATGTACAGGACTGGGTCCCCATGTTGTGATCTGGTCATCGACAGTAATAATAAACTTTACTTATTTACTTACTTACTTCCACAAATACTTTTAAATTATTTGTATTTTAGGAAGCAATACAGGCTTTGTTTGGCTCAGGTATTATCGAATCTAGGCATGTCCATGCTGCACATCACTGAAATGTCCACAAAAAAACACTCCTGTGGCTTTTTCGAGTGAAAGACAGATCGAACTTTGATTCAAAGAAGTTCTCCAATATTCTGACACGCAGATGCATGGAATTTAATTTCTTGAAATTGGGATGTTAACCACTTACATGTTACATAGGTATATGAGCATTACCTGTTAGTATAAGTTGCACATTCAAGCTTGTGGAGTTTTAAACTCTGTGTGTACTTTTCTACAGCTTTCTTATAGTTGCCTTTCTTTACAAATTCATTTCCTTCTAGTTTCAACGTGTTTGCTTGTTTGGTTGTAGCAGCTGAAGGCACTGAAATTCGTATTAAAGGAAAAAACAGAGCTATGTAAAACAACACCAGAAAATTAATTAATTTGTCATTTTAAGGGCATGAGGTGAAAAGTATAAGCATACCATCAACATTATCTGGTCCAAGGTGTTCTACAGTATGAAATTGCAACAGTGTTTGTAAAAAGCAAGCTATTTCCACTGATTGTTCAGAACTGTTTGAAGAGACAAATGGCTTTCAGCAACTTAAAATACTAGAACAGTTCATCTTTTTGTATTATGCAGTAACACCCGAGAATCTCAAGGAGAATTTGTGAAATGAACAACAAATTTATACTTTCACATCTGCACTTGGGATGAAAATAATAACAGTAACTATTCATTTCCCACCTTCCAACTGAGTTTCCCAAGACATGGGAAATCTAGTTGGAAGGAATACTTCAGCAGTGAGAATTTTGCAGTATTTTTATTCAATATTCATAAATACAAAATGTTTGGGAAATTATTCTGTGCACACTATGATTTTTTTTTTTTTTTTTACAGAAAATGAAGCTTGTGATACTAGGCTTGTGTACAGATCCATTTTAGCCATTTTCCTTCGGCTTGTCTGGCTTCTCTGGACAGCCATAATGGCAAGAACTCAGCCGTCATGTTGTTGTTTTTTTTTTGCCTGAAACGGAAGTACGTGGCACATGCTTCCTTAACCTCATTCCTCAAATCCAGGCTCCCTTGAAAGGAAGTAAGGAAAGGGTCCCAGGAAGGGTGCTTCCTTAACCCTGTCCCTCAAACTCAGGCCCCCTTGAAAGGAAAGGATCCCAGGAACAAAAAGGGGGGCCTTGTAAATTCCCTATTCATGCCAATTGGCCAGATCTTCCTGGATATCTCAGCTGCCTAGCTGAAAACAGATTGTTCTATTAGCCAATTTTTGGGAAATTCCCAAAAATGGATCTGGGTACCCAACGAAATTTGGATACCAAAAAATGAATCGTTCTCCAGCTAAATTGCCCAAGCCTACTTGCTACCCACTTTTTCTACACCATTGCTTGGTTTTGTGAAAAAGCCCCAGCAATATAGCACAAAATACTCACATGGGTTTCTGGAAATAACTCGTTTTCACATCATTTTTGTGAGAGAAAAAAACATTTATTGTGCAAAATGGGCCACTGTTTCTAGAAACCCATGCTTGCATACAGGCTTTTGCACAGGCCTTATGTTTGCACAAAATACATACATACATATCCACATGGGTTGCTGAGACAGTGACACCTTTGCTTTCTGGAGATTCAATGTAGGTACATAAATTTTGTCAACATTGATGCAAATACTGTGTATAAAATTACTTTAAAATTACTAAGATGTAAATGAACACCAAATGGATTTTGTGTTTAGACTTGGGTCCCATCTCCAAGATATCTTATTATGTATATGCAAGTACAGTATTCCAAAATTTAAAATATTCAATACACAGTACATTTTGGTCCCAAGTGTTTTGAATAAGTGATATTCAACATGCCCTGTTTTTTGTTCATATCTCTTAACAGCATCACAATTACTCACCTTGATTTGTTACAGGAGCAGCAGCATTCACTTTGTTTCCATCAGGAGGTGGCTCCCACCTTTTCTGAGCAGAAACAGGAACGGTTGGGATGGGTGGGAGCTTCTGGCGCCACTGAAGACCATCTTTGTCCAATAAAGCCTTGGTCATTCTGGAAAAAATGATCTAATAAATTTAGCCATATCCTGAGGGTCACTTTTTCGATAAGGATAGCTAGTTATGGTGGTTATGATTCCCTTTTCTCTAGTTACTTCTACGTGCCGATTCTGCACACCTGGATAGGTGTAACTCAGAATGTAACTGGACAGACAGGTGTTCCTTTTCAAATCTGGGAAGCACCACTGGCAGCTACATATCCTGTACTAACACCATCCATTGTGTGTCCCAACTTCAGGAACCTATCTTCAAAAAGACAGTCTGTGTTGAAAGAATTGTCTGTAGGGGTGTATGCTAAGCCAAAGATCCATTAATGTTCTTGCTGAAAATTATTTCTTTTCATATCTGACAATTATTTCTTTTCATATCTGACAATTATTTCTTTTCGCTATGGCAGAAGTGTAAAATCAGAGACTCTCTCATGCTTCTGCAGATAGAAAAGTAAAAAATCTCCATCTGCTGCCGTCAGAAGCAAAGAAAACGACAGGGGCTTTGCCACTGAACCTTGGAGATGAGACTTCTTCTCAAGTGCAGGTTCTGAAGGATCATATTCTCCCTTCTGTACCAGCCTGTGTTCTCAGTTCTTCTCTCTCTGGCCCATCACCTTCAGATACATTTGTTGGGAACTTGGGAGAAGGCCTTTTCAGTGCCTGCCCCTCAGAGAGACTAGATTGCTATCCTCCCTCCTTTTTTATTTTTTATTTTATTTTTTTTGCAGACAAGTAAAGATTTTTCGGTTCCAACATGCATTTGATGAATGATTGTATGAGGCCTGCCTCACCTAAGCAATGCACTGTTGTTTTTAAACTGATGTGCTAGAGTGTATATGTGTTTAATGCTGTATATTGTAATCTGATTTTAATTTTTTATTGTTAAAAAATGAGATTAATCTCATTTTTAACAATCAAAAAATTAAAATCAGATTTTTAAAATTTTCCTGTAAACCACTTTTGAGTTCCAAACTGAGATAAAGATGACATAGGAATAAATATATAATGCTGCCAAATTTGATACAATTTAAATTCTATGAAGAAATATAGTCTGCCATGAAGTTATCTAGTTGGGAACCCAAAATAAAATCATTCTTGGCCAGCAAGATATAGTTTTTCAGCACATTTTTATGCCGAAAAAGGCCTCCTTGGCTTATACTCAAGTGAGGGCCCTGGCGGGAAGGCATGGGGCTGAGAGAAGCCCTTTGCGGGCTTTCAACCAGCTGTGTGCCTCCTCCCCTTTTGGCACAGCAACCCAGCTGGATCTCTGTGCTGAGAGAGGATGAGAGGAAGGCATGCAGCCTCTCCTCTTGGCATAGCAACCCAGCTGGGTTGCTGTGCTAAGAAGAGAGGAGAAGCTGTATGCCTAAATTAATGTTATTTCATTGGCATCTATTTTTATTTTAAAATTTACCAGTAGCTCCTGTATTTCCCACCCTCGGCTTATACTTGAGTCAATACGTTTTCCCAGGTTTTTTTTTTTTTGTGGTAAAATTAGGTGCCTCATGCCTCGGCTTATATTTGGGTCAGCTTATACTCGAGTATATACATTACTTTTTCCTGTTATGTAACAGAAGGTCTTTTTTAAAAATCCAAGGTTTCTATTTCTTTGCCCTTGACTCCATTCCAGGCTTTGTCAAATCTAGGTAAGTAAAATTATGTACCCGTGTAAATCAAAGTTGGCTAATTTGATCCTAATTTTCAGGGTACACTTACTTTATAACAAAGGAAGGTTGCTGAAAAATTTGAAACAATAGACAAATCCACTATAAAAATGTATCAAAACTAGTAAGTAAAATGTGTGAATGTGGTCATGTAGTCCAACAGTGTAAGTTACCCATTTCAACTTTTTTTTAAGTGAAAGATAACTAAATATTTTACAGCGCATGTGAGATTTGAACAAATATTTCAAGAGATATTAGGACTGGACACACTGTTCAAGTTTAATATAAGGAGTGGGCAACTCTAGCTAGGCTTTGGGCCACTTTCCACATGGAGAAAGTTTTCAAGAGAAACACTTTTGTTCCATTTTGTAGTATGTGTTATATTCTTTTTTTAAATTTACATGTTTTAACTAAAATAGAAAAAATGCATTTCACTTTAAAATACAGTATAACTCTCATACCCATGGTGAATGTGTTCCTGATTTCGAGACCTGGTCTCCATAAACTGAGATATTTCAAAGTTATCCAGGAACTGCTGTAGGCCATTTTCATACCAATAGCCAAAGGCACATGACATGCATATCTAAATGTAGAAAAAATAACCTCCAGTATAGTTTAGCAATTTCTATTCACAGAATGAATATACAGAGCAAGGGATTACCTGTTGACGCCATCATGTGCAGCCTGTACAGAACAATCAATCTGTAGTACAGTTTTGTAGTCCACATAGGCTAAATTGTACCTCTCAAGAGCTTCATAGGCTGCTGCCCGCCTCAACAGGGGTTTGATGCTAAAAGCAACAAGCTCCAGGGCACTAAATTAGCAGAAAGGAAGGGAAAAGGGTCAATGGATCATTAAAATTAAGCAGCAGAATTTGCAACACCAAAACTCAGTTAATGTGAGTTGACCCTCTTGGCAGGGGGTTCGACTGGATGGTCCACAAGGTATCCTCCAACTCTAGGATTCTATGATCTATTTACCCAAATCTAACAATTTTGATCTTGAATGGGCTAAACCAGTGGTCTTGAATGGGCTAAACCAACTAGCCCTTTGTCACTGGTCATTAGAGTGCTCTTGTGGCGGATGTTGCCAATAGTTTACCAGAAGAGAGCTTGGGAATACAAAGAAAAAGTAATTGAATCAAGAATCTGAATAAAAGGCAGAGAAACAGGTTTGAAAATAATACAAAACCACACTTCTGAACCCATGTTCCTTTCCAGAGTAGTTTTAAAGAAGATGTTTGTTAGGCTTAGAGAAATACTGTAGTTTGATCAAGAAACTGAGTACAAAGCAGAGGTGGTATCCAAAATCAAGTGGTCAGATCATATATCCCCCCTCTCAAAACTACAAATAAATACTAATTTCACACATGGCAAACTATTGATATTCAGAAAGTCAGGAGATTAGAAGCTAAGGCTGCACTAATACACACACTTACCTGGGAATGTGTTTCAGGCTTCTTCCACACAGCTGTATAAAATCTACATGTATTTATTTGTTTTGTTTACAATACTTATATTCTGCCCTTCTCGCCCTGAAGGGGACTGAGGGCAGATCACAGAACACATATACCGCAAACCTGTGAAAAGCTAGTCAGAGGGAAAATAGGTAGAAAGTAAGCAAGAAAGCAGATGCAGTGTTCCCTCGCTACTTCACCGTTTGCTTTTAGCGGACTGTTTTGCGAATTTTTGAAAATATTAATAAAAATATAAAATATTTATGTCTAGTGGAGGCCAGGAACCTCGGAAGTGCGGCGGCATGAGGCACGGCGGGAAAGGTCTGCCTCCCTGGCCTCCACAGACACTGGAAGTGTGGCGGCCTGAGGCGCGACGGGGAAAGCCTGCCTCCCTGGCCTCCACAGACCCCAGAAGTGCAGCAGCCTGAGGTCCAGTGGGGAAGATCTGCCTCCCTGGCCTGTTGCTGCCTGCATGGCTCCGAAGGCTCTGCTGGGGTCTGCAGAAGCCAGGGAGGCAGGCAGGTGTCCTTGGGATGGGCCGGGAGGCAGGTAAGAAAATAATATATAATATATATAAAAAATAATGTATAAATATTAAAATTAATATGGTGTTCCTATTTTGTGGATTTTCACTTATTGCGGGTGGTCCTGGAACGGAATCCATACAATAAGTGAGGGAACACTGTACTGTTAAGAGATGTAACTATTATTTGGAAGAGCTGCGACTTACTCAGAACAATCCTTAATGCACAGGCTAAGGTTCCCATCCTTCAAATAGCACGCAGCACGATTGGAGTAAAGAACACTTTTCTCTTCTGCATTTGCATCCCCTGTGCATAAAGGAAACCCAAATTGTATTATGAAAGGCAAAATCACAAAAGAGAAAAATAAATAGGGTGAATTGCTGACACAATTAAAACGAAGTTTAAGGCATAGTACTTCTAACTCCATTATAAAGCACCAAGGATACATTTAATCATGCTTTTACAAAATAACCTTTTCAAGAATCAGAATCCCCATTTGACCCTGTTTTTTAAACTGCCCCTCCCTATTCCTGTACAGTTCTGGGTTTTAATTCTGTACTCCTGATCTTATTATATTATTGTTCAAGCCATCTTTCCAGAGCTCCAAGAAGTTGCTAGTACTCATTCACCCCTGCCAATCATTTTATCATCACAACAGCACAGCGAGGTCATTTATCCAGTAAACGTAGTAAAACAGAATGTTGGTGGACAGGAAAAGAGATTTAAAGATGGGCTCAAAGCCAACCTTAAAAACTCTGGCATAGACACTGAGAACTGGGAAGCCCTGGGCCTTGAGCGCTCCAGTTGGAGGTCAGCTGTGACTAGCAGTGCTGCAGAACTTGAAGAGACACGAATGGAGGGTGAAAGAGAGAAATGTGCCAAGAGGAAGGCGCATCAAGCCAACCCTGACCAAGACCACCTTCCACCTGGAAACCAATGCCCTCACAGTGGGAGAAGATACAGACCAAGAATAGGGCTCCACAGTCACCTACAGACCCACAAGAATACTGATCCTGGAAGACTATCCTACTCGGCCAACGAGGAATCACCTAAGTAAGTAAGTAAAAGTAAGTAGAAAGGGGAATTTGGCAACAGGCCAGATATCACATGTTTTACATGCACATTCTACATCTGGCATCTCCATCTGAAATGTGTGGTACCCCACCAGATTGCCTACAAAATACAAGGCAGATGTATCAAATGTTTAGATACAATGTAAATTCTTATTTTCTAAAATTGAATCCAACCCATTGCAGCACACTAAACTTGTGTAGATAGATATACATAAGCTCCATCCAAGCATCCTTGGGTCCCTCAATGAAGATTAGGGCTTTTTTCACTGAGCACGAATGCTTCACGATGCAATTTGCAACTGCATTTCACTGCATGTATTTGCAGAACTCCCACAACCAGAAACCCACTGTCAAGGGTGTTCAACTAAATGCAGTTCCTGTCCCTTTCCCCGGTTTTAGCTGTGCTCATACTTAGGTGGGTACATGAATAGAACTACGACTCTCAAATCTTCCTGGATGCTCTTGAGGGCATATCTAATAGTTGGATCCTACTTCATGTGTTTTTGTCACTTAAAATGAAAACCGAAATCCAGAATATGTGTGCTATCTAATAAGAATGAATTGTACATGTGTAATGTTTGTCATATTCTGCTGAAAACAAATGAGAACAGATCCCAACTGCTACTCCATATATTTTTAACTGATTTCTCCTCTATGCCTTTCATCTTTGATGGGTAGATAACAACGTATGTACTTTTGAATTAACTATAGTATCCAACCCTATTTTGCTAGCAGGAACACACAAGCAAAGCACTCTTGACAAATGGCCATCCAACCTCTGCTTAAAATCCTCTCGAGAAGGGAGACTCCGCCATGCTCTGAGGCAGCAGCATATTCCACTGCCAAACAGTTCTTAAAATCAGGAAATCCTTCCTAATGTTTAGGTGGAATCTCTTGTTTTGCAACTTGAATCCTTTGATCCATGCCCTTCTCTCTACAGCAGCAAAAGAAAACACACACACATCCTCCTCAAATATTTAAACATGGCTATCATATCCCCTCTAAACCTTTTATCAAAGCTAAACATACTCTTCATATGGCTTGGGTTCCAAACCTTTGATAATTTTGGTTGCCTTTTCCTGGATATGTGAATTAGTGACAGCAGCATAATTATTTTATCATTCAGTATCCTTGGTAAGGCCCTAAAGACCCACAAAATACTCCCATATAATCCCATGAAGATCTGAAGCATTACAATATGCTTAGTTCAATAAAATCAAATATTTCCTAGACAAAGTCCTCAATATTCTTTATTCTCTACAAGCCAATGGATACTCCACCACAGACATCAGAAGAGCTGCAAGGCCAAGAACAAGCCACAAGAGTCAAGACCCTGAGGAAAAGTGTTCTTACCATACATCAAGGGAACCACTGACCGCATAGGGAAGCTGATGAAGAAACACAACCTAGACATGAAACAATTGGCCAGCTAACACCTCCAAACAAAGGATTCCCCCAGAAAGGAAGTGGCCAGGCTCTGAAGCTGCAAAACTTTGCAATACTAATCAAGGTGATTAATTGCAACATTTACACTTGCCTCAAGCAAACATGAGTTCTTTCCCCCACCCTGGACCTTCCACAAATATATAAACCACCCTTGCTTAGTTCCCAATATACCTCACAGTCTCTGAGGATGCCTGCCATAGATGTGGGTGAAACATCAGGAGAGAATGCTTCTGGAACATGGCCATACAGCCCAAAAAACTCACATCAACCAAGTATTTCTTCCTTTGTTTCTTTAGTAGAATTGGGCAGCAGAGCAATATTTCAGTGAGAAATTGGCTATTCATTGTATTAAAGGAAGGCTTTAGAAGGGATCAAAGCCAGAAAAGAATTGTATGAGCTTTAGTACTTCACCTTAAATTTAAGGGGAATTCAAGGAAACAGAAACTGCACCTTAAATCCAAGAGGAATTCAAGGAAACAGAAAGTTAAATCAGCGACAGCCTCTCCCCTAAATACTTATCCTGAGGGAAAGGAGCTTAGAAGAAACGAAACTTGAAAGTCCTCCAAGTAAGCTGTCCAGCTCCTAACTGCCAGACTTGACTTTCTTTTTCTATCAGTGACCCACACTCCCCCTTTGTGACATAATTACTGCAGCAGAATGCTTGCTGACATAATAAGTTGATGGCTGTGGAGGAGTTTCAGAGGCTACCAGTAACTTTAAGACCAAGCCATTATGAAGACCTAAATCTTCTATTTGTTCACCCGCTGCAATCTGTCACATTCAGTATACGTACTCTATGGGTTGCCAACTCCAGGAATATGTAGCATACAAAAGTATGCTATTCCAGATTAATCCAGAGGACCATAACACACCTCTGCTCTACCTAAGAAGCTGGTAAAAAGCCCAGAGCACCCAAACCAGCTGATGGGATGGAGTTTTTATATTCTGCCATCAGGTACTGTTTTCAACTATTTAAGTATCTACACATATGAAGTGTGAAAGGCATCCCTCTGGGATGTACTTGGGCATTTATGGTCCAGAAAACATAATCACGTCTTGTAACAGAGGGTATTCTTCCTCTACACACTAAGGCTTTGTAGTGTATAAGGGTTTGGTTGCATGCTGCAAGTCCTGTATAAGAGCTTACTACAATGCATCTGAGCCATGCCACAAGCACAATTGAGAACCTTCTTACAGCGACACCAGAGGCACTTGAAGTGGCCAGCTTCTGGTCAAAGGAAATTGAGTATAATGCCAAGTTTTTAACTTTGTTTGTGGTTTTTGTATACATTATAACTGTATTCTCAATTCGCTTCTGACATAATAACTAAATAAGTGTATAAGGGGCACCTACACTCCAGAATTAGTACACTTTGACATCACTTTAACTGGCTCAGTGCTATGGAATCACATGAATTGTATTTTTACTAGGTCTCTGGTCTTTTATGCCAGAGTGCTGGTACCTTACTAAACTATAAATTCCCAGGATTCCATTGCACTGAGACATGGCAACTAAATTGGTGTCAAACTGCATTTATTTGTGTAGTTGTACCCTAATTTCCACAAAATTACTTTGAATTTCTATATATAATAGGCTTTTTCTGGGAAACCCTGAGTTGAGAAACAGTGAATCTAAACAAAACTAACTCAAAGATCTATCCAGTGCAAATCTATTGAGACTCGTTAAATCTTTAGAGCTCTTTTAAGTGAAGAGGATGGGAAATAGTTGTAAGCCACACAGACTGGCAGACTACTCATGTTATCTTAGATTTTAACAGAAGAGGGTTAGGGTTGAATGTGTTGGCATAGCCGGAATCACTGGGTTGCTGTGAGTTTTCCAGGCTGCATGGCCATGTTCCAGAAGCATTCTCTCATGATGTTTCGCCTGCATCTATGGCAGGCATCCTCAAGGGTTGAGGGATCTGTTGGAAACTAGGCAAGTGAGGTTTATAGATCTGTGGAATGTCCAGGGTGGGAGAAAGAACTCTTGTCTGCTTGAGGCAGGTGTGAATGTTGCAATTGCCCACCTTGATTAGCATATGATGGCCTTGCAGCTTCAAAGCCTGGCTGGTTGCTGCCTGGGGGATCCTTTGTTGGGAGGTGTTAGCTCTAATTGATTCTTGTATGGAATCCCCCTGCTTTTTGAGTGTTGCTCTTTATTTACTGTCCCAATTTTAGAGATTTTTTAAGACTGGAAGCCAGATTTTGTACTGTAGAAATTGTCCACATGCTTGTGGATTTCAATGGCTTCTCTGTGTAGTCTGACATGGTAGTTGTTAGGCAAGAGGATTGTGTGTTTATTCATTCAGTCGCTTCCATCTCTTCATGTCCTTGTGTACCAGCCCACTCCAGAACCCCTTGTCAGCCATTGCCACCCCCAGCACCTTCAAGGTCAAGCCAGTCACGTCAGGGATACCATCCATCCATCTTGCCCTTGGTCGGCCCCTCTTCCCTTTTCCTTCCATTTTCCCAGCATCATTGTCTTCTCTAAGCTTTCCTGTTTTCTCATGATGTGGCCAAAGTACTTCATCTTTGCCTCTACTATCCTTCCCTCCAATGAACAGCCGGGCTTTATTTCCTGAAGTATGGACTGGCTTCATCTGTATCTTTGTCTCTTTGTTGTTGTTCATTCGTTCAGTCGTCTCCGACTCTTCGTGACCTCATGGACCAGCCCAAGCCAGAGCTCCCTGTCGGCCGTCACCACCCCCAGCTCCTTCAAGGTCAGTCCAGTCACTTCAAGGATGCCATCCATCCATCTTGCCCTTGGTCGGCCCCTCTTCCTTTTGCCTTCCACTTTCCCCAGCATAATTGTCTTCTCTAGGCTTTCTGTCTCCTCATGATGTGGCCAAAGTACTTACTTTGTCTCTAGTATCCTTCCCTCCAGTGAGCAGCTGGGCTTTATTTCCTGGAGGATGGACTGGTTGGATCTTCTCGCAGTCCAAGGCACTCTCAGAACTTTCCTCCAACACCACAGCTCAAAAGCATCTATCTTCCTTCGCTCAGCCTTCCCTAAGGTCCAGCTCTCACATCCGTAGGTTACTACAGGGAATTATTATTATTATTATTAAACTTTATTTGTACCCCGCTAGCATCTCCCGAAGGATTCGATGCGGCTTACACAGGCCGAGGCCTCAGCACAGACACAGCAATACAATCCAAGCAAATCAAACAATTAAAAACAGAATAAAGCAAAATAAACAACAAGCACAATACACTAAACACAATAAAACTGGGCCGGGCCAGAAAATGGGTACAAAGATTAAAAGTGCTGATGTGACAGGAGGTGTATATAAGGCTTCTGGGGCAAGTGCGATGTGCAGCAATCATTGGTTCTGATGAAGTGCTTATGGGACTTGGTGGTGGAGATTTCCTAATCTGGGAAGCCGCATCGGAAAAGCCAGGTCTTCGAGTTCTTTCTGAAGACAGCCAATGTAGGGGCCTGTCTAAGGTCTTTGGGGAGGGTGTTCCAGAGTCGGGGGGCCACCACAGAAAAGGCCCTGTCCCACGTCCCCACCAAGCGCGCTTGCGAATACCATGGCTTTGATTATGCGGATCTTTGTTGCCAGTGTGATGTCTCTACTCTTTACTATTTTATTGATACTGGACATTGCTCTCCTCCCAAGAAGTAAGCGTCTTCTGATTTCCTGGCCACAGTCTGCATCTGCAGTAATCTTTACCCCTAGAAATACAAAGTCTGTCACGGCCTCCACATTTCCCCCCTCTATTTTCCAGTTGTCAATCATTCTTGTTGCCATAATGGCTTGTTTACTACGCATGATATCTGACTAACCAACCAGGTTTGGTGCGTCTATATCAGGCCTGGGCAAACTTGGGCCTTGCCTCCAGGTGTTTTGGACTTCAACTCCCACAATTCCTAACAGCCTACTACAGCTCCCAGAAGCCCCCAGCCTGCAGGCCTGCAGGCTGGGGGCTTCTGGGAGCTGTAGTAGGCTGTTAGGAATTGTGGGAATTGAAGTCCAAAACACCTGGAGGCAAGGCCCAAGTTTGCCCAGGCCTGCTGTACCCTGTAGAATGACTGCTGTTTGCCTTGCTAGCCCAGGGACAACTTCCACCCGCGCGTGACTCCCTCCCTCCTGAGCTAGGCCTTGCTTCTTCTCACCTGCCGCCTCCAGTGAGGCCAAGGCCCGGCTGTAAAGCGCCGCCGCCTGGCTGTACTGCCCGTGGCGGAACTGCTCGTTGCCGGCTCTCTTCAGGTCCGCGCTCTGCGAGGAAGGCGCCATGGAGACGGCTGAAGGGACCCCGCGCAAGGAAGGAAGGGCTGCTCCTTCGAGAATGAGTTTCCTTTCTCGGTTGAAAGGAGGGGCGGAGCCAAGCCGGCAACTCTGGCTCCTCCTCCTCCTCTTTCCTCAACTCTCCCAAGCCGCAGTCTGGCCAAGTCCCGAGTGGGCGGGGCCTTCCGGTTTCTTCCCCTTTGACGTCATCCAGTGTTTTCCCAAGGTGTTTGGGACTTCAACTCCCAGAATTCTTCCTCATCCGCTGAGGCAGCCGAGCCTTCTGGGAGTTGATGTCCAAATCGTTTGGAGGCTCACTTCCTTAAAGGGATAGGCTTCCTTCGTTGGGAGGCAATCCCTTTGGATCATAGAATCATAGAATCAAAGAGTTGGAAGAGACCTCATGGGCCATCCAGTCCAACCCCCTGCCAAGAAGCAGGAAAATTGCATTCAAATCACCCCTGACAGATGGCCATCCAGCCTCTGTTTAAAAGCTTCCAAAGAAGGAGCCTCCACCACACTCCGGGGCAGAGAGTTCCACTGCTGAACCAGCTCTCAGGAAGTTCTTCCTCATGTTCAGATGGAATCTCCTTTCTTGTAGTTTGAAGCCATTGTTTTGCGTCCTAGTCTCCAGGGCAGCAGAAAACAAGCTTGCTCCCTCCTCCCTGTGACTTCCTCTCACATATTTATACATGGCTATCATGTCTCCTCTCAGCCTTCTCTTCTTCAGGCTAAACATGCCCAGTATCCTAAGCCACTCCTCATAGGGCTTGTTCTCCAGACCCTTGATCATTTAGTCGCCCTCCTCTGGACACATTCCAGCTTGTCAATATCTCTCTTGAATTGTGGTGCCCAGAATTGGACACAATATTCCAGATGTGGTCTAACCAAAGCAGAATAGAGGGTAGCATTACTTCCCTAGATCTAGACACTATGCTCCTATTGATGCAGGCCAAAATCCCATTGGCTTTTTTTGCCGCCACATCACATTGTTGGCTCATGTTTAACTTGTTGTCCACGGGGACTCCAAGATCTTTTTCACACGTACTGCTCTCGAGCCAGGCGTCCCCCATTCTGTATCTTTGCATTTCGTTTTTCCTGCCAAAGTGGAGTATCTTGCATTTGTCACTGTCCAGATCCTACGGCCCTTCTACACAACCCGAAATATCAAGGCGGAAAATCCCCCAAATATCTGCTTTGAACAGGGCCCCCTTCCCACAGCCCGTAGCCAGGATTTCGTTTCGGGGGGGGGGGCTGAATTTTTTTCGGGGGGTTTCGGGGGGGCTGAGTTTCGGGGGGGGGGCTGAGTCTGAGTGAAAGAGGGGCTAGCCTAGCAAACCTTTTGTATCATTACCCCAATACCCCCATGCATATGGGATATATTGAGTATGGTGATCAGATCATGATATGAATAAACATAACAGTTTAAATAATGCACCAGTAAGGCCTTTTCGCGAACCACCATGAAATTTCGGGGGGGGCTGAAGCCCCCCGAGCCCCCCCCCCCCCGGCTACATGCCTGTCAGACACGGTGGTTGTTAGAGTCTGGGCTCTGGTGGCATCTCCAATTTTGGGGTCCCCCCCCCGGCTACATGCCTGTCCCACAATATCTGCTTTCTGTGTCGCAAGTTCTTGGTGGGATGGGCATCCCAAGCCACCTTGTCTCTCTCCTGAGGAATCTGTACAAGGACCAAGTAGCAACAGTCAGAACTGACCACGGAACAACAGACTGGTTCAAGATTGTGAAAGGCGTACGGCAAGGCTGCATACTCTCACCCAACCTTTTTAACTTGTATGCAGAACACATCATGCGATGTGCGGGGCTTGATGAATGCAAAGCTGGGGTGAAAATTGCTGGAAGAAACATTAACAACCTCAGATATGCAGATGACACCACTCTGATGGCCGAAAGCGAGGAGGATCTGAGGAGCCTTCTAATCAAGGTGAAAGAAGAAAGCGCAAAAGCTGGGTTGCAGCTAAACATCAACAAAACCAAGATTATAGCAACATTTCTAACAGAACAAAGCAAACAGAGAAAATACAAAATTTATGAGTTTGGTAGTTGATTAAATGTCCTTTGACCAGTATCTGGCCACTTGGAGTGCCTCTGGTGTTGCTGCAAGAAGGTCCTCCATTGTGCATGTGGCAGGGCTCAGGTTGCATTGCAGCAGGTGGTCAGTGGTTTGCTCTTCTCCACACTCGCATGTTGTGGACTCCACTTTGTAGCCCCATTTCTTAAGGTTGGCTCTGCATCTCGTGGTGCCAGAGCGCAGTCTGTTCAGCGCCTTCCAAGTCGCCCAGTCTTCTGTGTGCCCAGCGGGGAGTCTCTCATTTGGTATCAGCCATTGGTTGAGGTTCTGGGTTTGAGCCTGTCACTTTTGGACTCTCGCTTGCTGAGGTGTTCCAGCGAGTGTCTCTGTAGATCTTAGAAAACTATTTCTAGATTTAAGTCGTTGACGTGCTGGCTGATACCCAAACAGGCGCTAAACATCAAAAAAACCAAGATTATGGCAACAAGAATGGTTGACAACTGGAAAATAGAGGGAAAAATGTGGAGGCCGTGACAGACTTTGTATTTCTAGGTGCAAAGATTACTGCAGATTCAGACTGTGGCCAGGAAATCAGAAGACGCTTACTTCTTGGGAGGAGAGCAATGTCCAATCTCGATAAAATAGTAAAGAGTAGAGACATCAGACTGGCAACAAAGATCCGCCTAGTCAAAGCCATGGTATTCCCTGTAGTAACCTACGGATGTGAGAGCTGGACCTTAGGGAAGGCTGAGCGAAGGAAGATAGATGCTTTTGAACTGTGGTGTTGGAGGAAAGTTCTGAGAGTGCCTTGGACTGCGAGAAGATCCAACCAGTCCATCCTCCAGGAAATAAAGCCCGACTGCTCACTGGAGGGAAGGATACTAGAGACAAAGTTGAAGTACTTTGGCCACATCATGAGGAGACAGCAAAGCTTAGAGAAGACAATGATGCTGGGGAAAGTGGAAGGTAAAAGGAAGAGGGGCCGACCAAGGGCAAGATGGATGGATGGCATCCTTGAAGTGACTGGACTGACCTTGAAGGAGCTGGGGGTGGTGACAGCCAACAGGGAGCTCTGGCGTGGGCTGGTCCATGAGGTCACGAAGAGTCGGAGACGACTGAATGAATGAACAACAACAAATCTGCTTTCTGAGAGTGCCTTGGACAGCGAGAAGATACGACCAGTCCATACTCCAAGAAATAAAGCCTTATTGGAGGGAAGGATAGTAGAGGCCAAGGTGAAGTACTTTGGCCATATCATGAGAAGAAAGGAATGCTTAGAGAAGACAATTATGCTGGGGAAAATGGAAGGAAAAAGGAAGAGGGGCCGACCAAGGGCAAGATGGATGGACTGCATCCTTTGACCTTGAAGGTGCTGGGGGTGGTGACGACTGACAGGGGGCTCTGGAGTGGACTGGTCCATGAAGTCATGAAGAGTCGGAAACAACTGAACGAATGAACAACAACAACAAAATACCTGCTTTGAACTGGAATATATGGCTGTGTGGAAGGGCCGCTAAGGAATATATGGCAATGCAGACGGAGGCCCCTTTCACATAACTGAATAAAGTCCCATATTATCTGCTGTGAACAGGAATATATGGCAGTGTGGACTCAGATAACCCAGTTCAAAGGAGAGAATGTGGGATATTATACAGCTGTGTGGAAGGGACCATCAAACATTTTTTATTCTTTTATATCCTGCCATTCTCCTGATAATGGGACTAAAACAGGAAGAATATTTTCAATTACTCATTTCAACTCCAATGACAACAACAGAAACATTTTAAAATTCATTTATACCCTACTTTTAGCCCCTGGTAGCGCAATGGGTTAAATCCTTGTGCTGACTGAAAGGTTTGCAGTTCAAATCCAGGGAGCGGGGTAACTCCCATCTGTCAGCTCTAGCTTCTCATGTGGGGACATGAGAGAAGCCTCCCACAGGATGGTAACACATCCAGGCATCCCCTAGGCAACGTCCTTGCAGACTGCCAATTCTCTCACACCAGAAGCTACTTGAAGTTTCTCAAGTTGCTCCTGACACAAAGTAAAAATCCTGATAATGGGGCCTGGCTAACAACATATTTAGAACAATACAGATTAAAAACTGGAGAAAAGCTAAGATAAAAATATATAAAATTTATTCAATTATTATTATTATTTAAACTAATAAAAGTTTTAAAACTTGTGAGATTGTAGTTCTCCCTCCTCCCTCACCATTGCATTTGCTGGCTAGGATTGATAGTTGTAGGTCAGCAATTTAATGAAAAGCATTTATTATATGGTTGCGAGGCATTTTTAATTTGCAGGTATATACAGGTGGCAAACTTATGTGAATACAAATGTAATTTTTGTACCACGTACATAGCTTGTAAGTGGCATGGACCAGGAAGCAAAAGACTTAGGTTATATATTCCCAAGTGTATAATTTGGGAACAAGCCTCAGGATCATACTGGATTTTTGAAGTGTATTATTATTTATAATAATAATACTTTATTTGTAGACTGTCCTATCTCCCTGAGGGGACTCAGGGTGGTTCCCATCCAGACCTCTGGCAGGAGAGGTTTGTAGCCATTGCGGTAATGAAATTTGCCAACAAACAGCCTGCAGACTGGCCCTCAAACAAAATCAATTTCTCTCCAAAACACAAAGAAACACGAGGCTGGCTTTAATTTTATTTCCTAACTATGGTTTATCATTACAGAAACACTAAACTGAGGAATAGGCTTTTTTGCTTAACTGCATTTTGCAGTGTTGCTAAAATAAAATAAAAATGTGGTTGATGTTAGCAATAGGAGCAATCTACTCTCCGATCATAAATCCGAATGGTTGCACTACTATGGTTCAAATGACACCCTAAATGGTGAAGTACATAACATGAAACTAGAAAAGCTTATGATTTCCTTATAGCAGCAGTACAACAAGGAAGCCTAGAAGATAGTTAGTCTTGAAATGCAACAACATTTAGTGTGGGAATGCCAAAGAGCTCTGTACCACTCAGATACCTAGGATGCACCAGGGTAACTAACAGAAAATATTTCAGTTTTTGACAGCTTGGGACCTGTACTTTCAGTGATCCCTTTTCTACTATGAATGGACCCACACTGACATTTAGAATGCATTTTTTTTCACTTAATGTCATGATTTAATTACGCTTACAAGCATGCATCTAAAGATTACTAAGGAGTAGTATAGATATATACTTGCAGACATGGTATGAGTTATATTAACACCAACTATTTTATCACACTCAATGCAAATCCACCATATTTATTTATTTTATTTATTAATCAATTTTATATACCACCACTCCCTGAAGGCTCGGAGCAGTATATAAAATCTATATAAATAAAAATGTAATGTTCGTTTGTGGGATTAACAGAACTCAAAAACCACTGGACGAATTGACACCAAATTTGGACACAAGACACCTAACAATTCAGTGTATGTCCTTCACTAAAAAAAATATGATTTTGTCATTTGGGAGTTGTAGTTGGTGGGATTTATAGTTCAATCAAAGAACATTCTGAACCCCACCAATGATGGAATGGCACACAGTTTTCCCATGACCATCAGAAAATACTGGAAAGGTTTGGTGGGCAGTGTCCTTTGGTTTTGGAGTTGTAGTTCACCTACATCCAGAGATCACTGTGGACTCAAACAATGATGGATCTGGACCAAACTCTTCACGAATACTCAATATGCCCAAATGTGAATACTAGTGGAGTTTGGGGAAAATAGAATCTTGACATTTGGGAGTTGTAGTTTATGGGATTTATAGTTCACCTACAATCACAGAGCATTCTGAACCCCACCAACGATAGAATTGGGACAAACCTCCCACGCAGAACCCCATGACCACCAGAGGGGGCCACAGCTAGTTGATTAATAAATGTGAAGAAAGCTAGAAAATGTCACAGTAAAATGTATTTCTCCAACAACCATAATCATTTGCAACCACCAACTATGCAATAATAATAATAATAATAATAATTTACCACCCTATCTTCCTGAGGGAGCACAGGGCGGTTCCCATCCAGACCTCTGCAACGCATGGCAGGGGGTGGCTAGTTGGATAATAAAACTATAGCTATAACAAAATCAATAAAAACATGAACATTAGTGTCTCCTATTAAAAAACATTGTTCAATCACATCGTCCAACCATTCCATTTTCCTATGTCTATTACACTGTATTTGGAAATGCCTGCTCAAAGAGCCAAGTCTTGACTCTCTTTCGAAATGTTAAAAGGAAGGGGGCCGATCTGATATCCTTAGGGAGGGCATTCCATAACCGAGGGGCCACCACTGAGAAGGCCCTGTCTCTCGTTCACGCCAGACGTACTTGTGACGAAGGCGGGATCGAGAGCAGGGCCTCCTCCCCAGACAATCTTAAAGTCCTGGAGGGTTCATAAGATGCGTTCGGACAGGTAAGTTGGGCCAGAACCGTTAACTGTTTTGAACTGGATTCATTATAAGAGTCTACACTGCCCTATAATCCAGTTGAAAGAAGATAAGGCAGGTGTGGGAGGGGGATGGGAACTAGACCCCTATAGATCCTATAATAATTTTCTTCAGCCAGCACCTTAATCACTCTGACTTGGACATCACCTCAGCCTTGTTGACTTGTAAATGCCTTTTTACTTTTAATGTTTTGAGTGTTTGCTATCATTACATTTTCTTGCCCTGATGAAGGGAGTTGGACTGGATGGCCTTAAGTATTTTCTGTTGCTCATGGGGGTTCAGTATGGGAAGTTTGTCCCGATTCTGTCGTTCGTGGAGTTCAGAATGCTCTTTGATTGTAGGTGAACTGTGAATCCCAGTGACTACAACTCCCAAATGTCAAGGTCTATTTTCCCCATACTCCATCTGTGTTCATATTTGGGCGTATTGAGTGGTTGTGCCAAGTTTGGTCCAGATCCATCATTATTTGAGTGTACAGTGCTCTCTGGATGTAGGTGAACTACAACTCCCAAACTCAAGGTCAATGCCCACCAAGAACCCTTCCAGTATTTTCTGTTGGTCAAGGGAGTCCTGTGTGCCAAGTTTGGTTCAGTTCATTCGTTGATGGAGTTCAGAATGCTCTTTGATTGTAGGTGAACTATAAATCCCAGCAACTACAACTCCCAAATGACAAAATCATAATTTTTTGAGTGATGGTCACTCCTTGTCTTGTGAGACGTTTTTTTGCCAAATTTGGTGTGATTTTGTTCATTGGTTCTTTTGTTTTTAAGGTACTCATTATGCACGGAGCATTAATGTAATATAGGTTCTTGTGGGTTTTTTCGGGCTATAGAGCCATGTTCTAGAGGCATTTCTCCTGACGTTTCGCCTGCATCTATGGCAAGCATCCTCAGAGGTAGTGAGGTCTGTTGGAATAGGAAATGGGTTTATATATCTGTGGAATGGCTGGGGTGGGGCAAAGAGCTCTTCTCTGCTAGAGCTAGGTGTGAATGTTTCAACTGACCACCTTCATTATCATTTGAAGGCCTGCCTGAGCCTGGGAAAATCTCTTGTTGAGAGGTGTTAAGATGTGCCTGGTTGTTTCCTCTCTGCTGTTTTGCTGTTGTAATTTTAGAGTTTTTTAAATACTGGTAGCCAGATTTTGTTCATTTTCATGGTCTCTTCCTTTCTGTTGAAATTGTCCACATGCTTGTGGATTTCAATGGCTTCTCTGTGTAGTCTGACATGGTGGTTGTTGGAGTGGTCCAGCATTTCTGTGTTCTCAAATAATATTCTGTGTCCAGGCTGGTTCATCAGGTGCTCTGCTATGGCTGACTTCTCTGGTTGAAGTAGTCTGCAGTGCCTTTCATGTTCCTTGATTCGTGTTTGGGCGCTGCGTTTGGTGGTCCCTATGTAGACTTGTCCACAGCTGCATGGTATACGGTAGACTCCTGCAGAGGTGAGAGGATCCCTCTTGTCCTTTGCTGAACGTAGCATTTGTTGGATTTTCTTGGTGGGTCTGTAGATAGTTTGTAAGTTGTGTTTCCAAATCAGCTTCCCTATGCGGTTAGTGGTTCCCTTAAAAAATGTAATGTTCATTTGTGGGATTAACAGAACTCAAAAACCACTGGATGAATTGACACCAAATTTGGACACAAGACACCTAACAACTCAATGTATGTCCTTCACTCAAAAAAAAAAATGATTTTGTCATTTGGGAGTTGTAGTTGCTGGGATTTATAGTTCGATCAGAGCATTCTGAACCCCACCAATGATGGAATTGAACCAGACTTGGCACAGTTTTCCCATAACCAACAGAAAATATTGGAAGGGTTTGGTGGGCAGTGTCCTTTGGTTTTGGAGTTGTAGTTCACCTACATCCAGAGATCACTGTGGACTCAAACAATGATGGATCTGGACCAAACTCTACACGAATACTCAATATGTCCAAATGTGAATACTGGTGGAGTTTGGGGAAAATAGAATCTTGACACTTGGGAGTTGTAGTTATTTATTATATTATAATCTGGATTCAGAAACTCGGATTATAGGGCAATGTAGATGGGACTTCAGCCAAACTACAGCTCCCACGGCTCCACAGCCTGGGACTGAACTGAACTCAGGCTGCAGCGCGAGCTCGCCCACGCCCATCGAGGGGGCGGGGTTCATGTCCTCCAAGACTTTGGGGGGGGGGGGGAAAGAAAGCACGTGGTTCGTGTCGCGCGCGGCTCTCTAGCGGGCGGGCTTCGGATTGGCTGTTGCCGGGAAGCGGAAGTGGGCCTGGTGCCTTGGGAGGGCGGGGCTGAGCGAGAGGTTCTTCTCAGAGCCCGGCAGCGCGCGCGAAGGGATGGAGCGACGGCGGTGAGTGAAGGAGTGAGTGGTGTGTGCGGCGCCCTTGGCCTCCCTCACAGCCTCTTCCCTCAGTCAGTGGCAGAAAAAGAAGAGGAGGAGGAGGCCGCCATGGAGACCGTGCAGCTGCGCCACCCGCGCCGGTGAGAAGCTCTGGAGGGCTTGAGGGAGGGAGGGAGGGAGGAGGCAGCCTCGAAAGGGGGAAAAGGAGGGCGGGGTGGGGCCAGTGTTGAGGCAAAGGGGAAGGTCGGCTGGGTGTCAAGGCTTTCTTCTTCCCCCCACTCCCTCCCCGCCCTTCTCAGGCCTTCCTTTTTCCTCCTCCTTGGGGAATGGAGGAGGAAAAATCCCTATTATTATTATTATTATTATTATTATTATTCATAGTAGTATTTATATCCCGCTTTCTCTCTCTTCAGTGTGACTCAAAAGCAGCTAACAATATTAAAAAAATAAAAGTGCACAGATTAAAACCAAAAGGATGTAAACAAATATAATAATTAGGTTCTTGTAGGTTTTTCCGGGCTATAGGGCCATGTTCTAGAGGCATTTCTCCTCTCCCCAACGTCAGGAGAAATGCCTCTAGAACATGGCCCTATAGCCCGAAAAAACCTACAAGAACCTAAAGCCTTCGACAATAAATATAATAATAATAATTATTATTAACTTTATTTTTACCCCGCTAGCATCTCCTGAAGGACTCGATGCGGCTTACAAAGGCCAAGGCCTCAATACACAACATAACAATACACAACCTAAAGCAAATTAAAAACAATCAAAGCAATATTAAACAATAAACAATACACCAAGTCACAATAAAACTGGGCCGGGCCAGAGTAATGGGTACAGAATTAAAAGTGCTGACGTGACAGGTGGTATAAAGGGATTATAGGGTATTATTATTATTATAACTTTATTTGTACCCCGCTAGCATCTCCCGAAGGACGCGATGCGGCTTACAAAGGCCAAGGCCTCAATACACAACATAACAATACAAAAAAGCAAATTAAAAACAATTAAACAATAAACAATACACCAAGACACAATAAAACTGGGCCGGGCTACAGTAATGGGTACAGAATTAAAAGTGCTGATGTGACAGGTGGTATAAAGGGATTATAGGGTATTATTATTATTATAACTTTATTTGTACCCCGCTAGCATCTCCCGAAGGACTCGATGCGGCTTACAAAGGCCAAGGCCTCAATACACAACATAACAATACAAAACCTAAAGCAAATTAAAAACAATTAAAGCAATATTAAACAATAAACCATACACCAAGACACAATAAAACTGGGCCGGGCCAGAGTAATGGGTACAGATTAAAAGTGCTGATGTGACAGGTGGTATAAAGGGATTATAGGGTAAGTGCAGTGTGCGGTGTGCAGCAATCTTAGTTCTAATAAAGTGCTTCTGGGACTTGGTA